TCTCTCTCTCTCTCTCTCTCTCCTCTCTCACTCTCTCTTTAAAAAATAAATAAATAAATAAATAAATAAATAAATAAGATATTTATATATATATGATCGAGGGGCTAAGGTTGTAGCTCAGTGGGAGAGTGCTTGCCTTGCATGTGTGAGGTTCTGGGTTCAATTCTCAGCATCACATATAAATAAATAAAAATAAAGGTCCATCAACAACTAGAAAAAATATTTTTTTAAGTATAATTGGAAGGAGAGAATCAAATGGTAGTACAGTCAGGGAATTCTCAGCTTTCTTATCTTTATTATGTAGCGACTGTGGTTTTTGATGAGAAAAAAGACTGATGTGGGAATGATGAACCTACGCAGTAAGAATCTGGTCCCTCCCAAGGCCTGGGCAAGCAGGTTTAGAGCATGTTGAGGCACATCCATTTACTTGCCTCCTGCCTCTATTTTGCCATTACCTGCAGCCCACATACTTCCTAATTTTCTAGATGCCCTCCTTCAGCATTATAGCTTATGCTTTGGGGACCTGAGCTCAGTGTTGAAAAACAGATGAGAGATTTTAAAATAATATTCCCAAAGACATGAGAACCAGGACAAATAGGCATGTGTACAGGACACAGGTGAACCCAGGGATTATGTTCAGACCTCACTGATACACCGTTACCTAAATTTTGCTTTTCAGTGAAGATTTCTAGTAAACTTGAAAGAAGCTGTTTGGTGAAAGATGTGCTAAGACTTTATCCTGTGCCTCTCTAGATTGGTGAAAATATGCTTTCTAATGCATTTGCAAAAGGAGTCTAAAACACTGTACACAAAACAAGTGTCCAGAACATTTTTTGTACAACCAGTCATAACACAAAAATTACTAACCCAATATTCCCACTATTTTCCTTTAGTCAGACTTCATATGACAAATCACCTGTCACTCAAAACAGAGTTGGTTGGACACTGTATGCCAAAACCCAGCATTATTTCTTTTTTTGTAGTGCTGGGGATTGAACTCAGGGCTTTGTGCATGCGAGGCAAGCATTCTAACAGCTGAGCTATATCCTCAGCCTTGCAGCATTATCTCTCAGGACTTAGAACGTCACAGAAATTAGGGACCTGCCCTGGCCAGACCACAAGGCTATTCAGGACCCACTCACCCCTATATTCCTGCATCTTCTTCTCCACATCATGTCTACCCCTCCTTAAAGATCTAGTAAATCCTAAATGCAAGTGCATATTACTATGCCATATCTGGTGATACCCTCTCCCATCTTTTCTTTGTCATGTGACTCTCTATAGTCCAGAACAGATGGATTCCACATACCTGTGTAAAAATGCACACAAATTGGTGGTAAAAATGTTACCAGACATCAGATGTATTGCTTACCTCAGATTTGCTGAATATTGCCTGTATGCTAGGCTTAAATAGTAGAGGAAGGTAACTGATGTGCCTGTGGCACAGAATCACAAATATACATCCCAAACATGTATATATGGTTGTAAGTTCATTCACTATTCATTATAACCCTGGAAGGTGGGCATTCCCCTCATTTGTAAAACAGGACATTAGCTCTGATAGTTAAATAATTTTTCTAAGATCTGTCAGTCGCTGATGGAAACAGAGGTCTAACCTGGATTTGTACCTACATATGTACCTGTGTGCTATATCACTTTGCAATGAACACACCTCAGAATAAATGGTGAGCTTTCTCTGACCAAAACTGGGACAATAAGGAATATGAAAAAGGAGTAATAAGCCAGGCATAGTGGTGCACGCCTATAATCCCAGCAGCTCAGGAAGCTAAGGTAGGAAGATCACAAGTTCAAAGCCAGCCTCAGCAATTTAGCAAAGCCCTAAGCAACTTAGTAAGGCACTGTTTCAAAATAAAAAAGGCTTAAGCCAGGTACAGTGGTGCATACCTATAATCCAGCAGCTCAGGAGGCTGAGGCAGGAGGATTGAAAGTTCAAAGCCAGCCCCATCAACTGAATAAGGCCCTAAGCAACTTAGCAAAACCCTGTCTCAAAAAAAGGCTGGGGTAGCTCAGTAGTTAAGCATCCCTGGGTTCAATCCCTGCCCCCCTCCCAAAGGAATAATGATTGTAATAAGGGAACATGTTCTAGATTAAGGGAGACTAAAGAGACATAGAAGTCAATTCAATATTTTAGTTCAAAAAAATCCATGAGTCCATAGTGGGGTACTCAAACATATACTAAAGAATGACAGTGGAGGAGCTGGGGTTGTAGCTCAGCAGTAGAGCGCTTGTCTCACACATGTGAGGCACTGGGTTCAATCCTCAGCACCATAAATAAAGTAAATAAATAAAGTAAAGCTATTGTGTCCATCTTTAAAAAGAAAAAGAATGACAGAATTATGAAAATAACTTTTTTTTGACCCCAGTACACTGACTCAGGAAAAGATCAACAGACTTTCAGATCACTAGATGGAAGAATGCTAGGGCAGGTACTCCTATGTTTCTGAATATCACCCCATACATGAGTGATATTTAGAGAGGAAACTGTGCCTTTGTGTTGGAGAGATGATGAATACCACTTTACCCATATGGTAAAGCTGAATAACCACAGCAGAGGGGCACAAAATCATCCATGTAGTATTCTTACTCTCTACATTGTTTACCATGAATGGCCGTGGGAGACAGACAAATTCACAGCATGAGAAGGTCTATGAAACAGCTAGCCCGGGTGCCTTGAAGTCAGGTAAACAGTGCATGAACCTTGACTAGATCCCAGATCATCCCTGTGGGGGCCTGAGGCTGTTAGAAGGAAAGCTGCTTTAGAGCCATATAGTTCCTGGCAGTGAGAACAGCTACCCAGAGGTCTAGCCCACATCCCCTTTAGCCCACCCAGTCACTGTCACCAGTTACCTGGTCTCTTTTTTCAATCTGGCCAGAGGTTTGGGGTGATACAGAGCAGATGTGGATATACAGTCTGCTTCTTCCATTTAGGGCAGTTCTTCCACTTTTATGTCAGCATCCTTACCAGCCTTGGCTTTCAACCTACCCTATGTTCTGACATCATATGAGGGCTGTCCATCCTTTCATGGAAATGCGTGGTGGCTGCCTTGGATACCTAGATGTTGAGTTCAGTTCCCATATGTGTCATCAAGACTTTGCCTCTTTGCTTGCCTTGCAGGTTCCAGTGTAAATGGCCTGGAGGAACCTAGCATTGCCAAGAGGCTGAGGGGCACTCCTGAGAGAATCGAACTGGAGAACTACCACCGGTCTGTGAAACGGGCAGAGGAGCTGGAGGAAGTACCTGAGGAAACGCAAGCCGAGCACAACCTGAGCAGCGTACTAGACAAGGGCACCGAAGAGGACGTGGCCAGCAGGTCAGCCTGCGCCTGTGGCTTGCCCAGCTATCCCAGGGCAGTGGTCTCACCACAACCTCCAAAGGAGTATTCCACTTTGCTGGGGAGGGCAGCATAGGTCTAAATCAGATTCTCTGGGTTGGAATCTTGAATCTTCTTCTTTCCAGCTGTGGAAACCTAGGCAATAGCCCCTATATGCTTCAGTTTCTTCATCTGTAAAATGAAGATAATATTAGTGCCTTCCTCACAGAATTGGTAGAAGGATTAAAGGAGAAGATTGGTATAAAGTGTTTAAAACAATACTTGGCACATGTAAGTGCTTGTGGGTTATTTTGCATGATGCTGATCATGTGCATTTGATCACCCTCATGGGACCTATGAGATAGACAAAAGCATGTTTTGTCACCTTATAGGTAAGACTAAAGCTGAGATCCCAAATTAGGTTTTCTGGGTTCAGGCCCAGGACTCTTCCTGTTTTCCCTGCTTCCCTGTGTTCCATTTAGGTTCTTATTTCTAAGTCAACATCAGCAGTTACTATTATTATTAATATAGTACCTTATAGACCTTTGCACGGTATAGGTGTCTATAACTAGGTAGGGCAGGGCCCATAAGGATCATATTCATAAGATTTACTTCATATTCCATGTCTTTAGCACTTTGTTAATCATTGAAAAGGTAACAGACAAGAGATAAGTCATATTTTGTTGTCCTCAAATGGTTGTTTAAAGGTAGGAAGTTTCATGGAAGAAGCACTAGGGTTGAATTAGACCTGAATTCACTGCATAGCCTTAAGGAAGCCACCTCACTTCTCTAGTGTTCTTTTGTCTTCTGTGGGTAAAGAGAAGGGCAGAAACCTTGCATGCCAGAGACCACATGCAAGCGTCTTATGCTTAGCCCATCCCTGTGTTTAATTCTGTTTGATCCCTTTAGGTGCGACACACATTCCAACCCCCAGAGAAGTCCCTGCATCTGTTGCCTCTTTCAGGTGTCACTGGAGAAGGATGGGTACTGAAAGAGAACAGAAGATAAAAAAGAAGGGGGAAAGTTATCATAGGCCAGACTATCCTGCGGGGCTTCTGGATCAGAGCCCTAGTTGCAGCCCTGGATGGGTGGAGGCTTCTGGTTGACCTTTGAAAATATTTGAATCAGATACTAGGCATTTTTTATCTAGCTTTGATGAAGGGATGTGTGGGGTTAAAGAAAGCAGTGCGTTTTTTTTGTTTGTTTTTTTTTTAAGGCCTCCGAATATTTCTCAGAAAGTGTTCATTGGGCAGAGCTGTGTTCAGCTATATCTCACCCCCCCCCCCGCCCCAAACATACTACAGACAAACAAGGTGAACCACTACTTAAGCTGACTCTGCAAACAGCCTTTTTGTGCATTTCAGGGGCAGCCTTTCTCTTGGTACTCGCAGTTCTGAAGCTGTCACTAATTGCACATCATTGTCACATAGCTCTGCCTCTTATCCAGAGACATACCCTACCCTCCAGTGCTCACAGAAGGGAGATCCACACAATGCCTGTGTTGCCAACATCACAGTGAGAAGGGGAGATCCCATACATCCAAGTACATTTATGAACCCTTAAGCAGACCTCGGGTCAGACATAAAATCAGCCAGCATCTCTACAGTACAATGCAACAAATGCTCCCATTATTTTAAACTCAAATTGAAAAAATAAAAAGCAAAGGCTGGGGAAGTGGAGAAGTGATTCAGCAGTAGAGTACTTGCCTAGCATCTGCAAGGCCTTTTAGAAAAAGGAAAAAAAATTAAAATAGTAATAAATCAGCTTCAGATGCCACACATAATGAAGAAAGTTGTCTCAGTGAGAGGCCCATAGAAAGTAGCTATAGATTTTGTCTTCTCTAGGGAAAAGCAGTAATATGCAGGAAATGGGCCATGTGTTGTTTCCATCTTCTCTACAACACCAAACACAGAGTGAGATAAGCTTTCAGCCCTTAGCCCTTCTTGATGACATGTTAGATTCGATGATGAGAAATGACTTAGTTTTAAGGTATTATGCAGTCCAACCCAGGAACACACTTTTCACAGGTTCAGAGAACTCAGGCATCTGCTGTGGGAGACAGCATGGTTTGATATTTCAGAACATGGTTGAAAGCATCAGAGAAAAACAGATCTAGACTTGAAGCCTGGCTCTACCAATTACTGGTTGTGGGCAAGTTATTTAGCCTTTCTGTGCCTCATTTTTCTCATCAGCAAAGTACATTGCCTCATAGGTTTATTTTGAAGATTAAATCAAATAAAGCCAACAGAATGCCTGTCACCCATTGGCTGCTACATCCAATGTCAGCATTTACTTTACTGTCTATTTTTTACCTTGTAGGTCCATTCACAATGCAGGTGTCCCTCTCTAGTTGGGGCAGGGCCAGGGACTCTTGAACTGGTTTTCTTTAAAAGAAGAATTAAATGCCAGAAATTGGGTTTGGCTCACTCACCCTGCCCTAGGGCATTGTTGACTTTCCATACATCATAACCACCCAGGGCGTTTGCTAAAGCACAGGTTGCTGGACTGAGTGCTGATTCCATGGATCTAGGGTAAAATCAAAGAATTTTCATTTTAAAATAGTTACCAAGGGGTGCTGTCATCAGGTAACCACCCTGTGAATTGCTGCTCTGAGATTTCCAAATTGCCATTATGATAAACATCTGGGGCATTTGATAAAAAAGTAATGTCAAGGCCCTCTCATTCTAGTGTAGGTTGTGAATGTCTGGTTTTAACAGGCATCCTAGGTGAGACTTTTTTTTTTTTAAGGTGAGTCTTAAAATCAGACTTATGGTTTAGTTCATACAAGTGGTAAACGTCCTAAACCTTATCACAGATTCTGAACCAGGTCTAAGTAGCTAACTGACCCTTCCTTACAGGCAAGGTGGGAGCCTATCTTCTGGAGAACAGTCTAGAAATGGCATATGTATTTTTCTATATATCAAGACCAGATGACAAAAGAGGAAGGAGATCCAGCTCTATAATTTTCATTACCCTGACTCAAAGAATTTGCCACAGACAAGGAAGACAGCTGATGCAGTACCCATCTGCTGGCAACTTTAGTGTGTTCAGATCTGTGGTTCTAAAGTACTAATCAGTTAGTACTAGAGCAGACAGATGTGCTCTGGGATGGGACAGCCAAGGTCACAAAAGACTTCTCCAAAGTCATCAGCAGTCCAGTCCAGATGGGCCAGCCCTTCATCAGAAGGTTGACAGATTGATCATGAATACATGGGAATTCTTTCCACCACCACCACCATCACCACGCCCCCCCCCCTCTCTCTCTATATATATATATATATATATGCACATACATATTCTTTTCCAGCACAGGTAGTAACATGAGCTACTGCTGAGCAGGATGCTAGGTCAAGCACACATTACATTTCCACCATGTGAAGATCACTGGGCAATGTACATCTTCTCTAGACATCTGCTTCTGATGCTTTACTGTGTTCACACAGTTGTCAGGTGAGTGGGAGCTAGGAGTGTGATTGAGCCAGAGAGCGTATTGCAGTCTCTCATTAGGAGAAGCTCAACTTAAAGAGTAAAAACTGTGATACCTGTTTCTGAAAACCACCCTGTAGCTTCAGGTGATGCCCCATGCAGAATTCTGCCTCATGCACAATGGAGCCTGCCTTAGTTCCCATCCTTGCCTTTTCAAGGAAAATGCAGGCCACCAGAGAACAGGATCATGATCCATTTCCTGGGGTTGCCACCCTGACAGCTGCTAATACCAAAGCATTCTTGGGTTCTTGAAGAACCACCAAAGAGTGCACAACGTGGTATGTGGTGTGGAGGCTCCTGGGAATCCTGAGTCCTCTTCACACCAACCTCCTTAGGCTGCAGTTTCCCATTTTTAAAAAATGGGGAAAATGGGCTAGGGTTGGGGTTCTGCAGTAGCCTACTTGCCTGGCATGTGTGAGGCACTGGGTTTGATTCTCAGGTGATGCCCCATGCAGAATTCACATATAAATAAATAAAGTCTATCAACAACATATATGGAAAATGTAACCATATGTGATATGCCTGTCATTCCAGTGACTTGGGAGGCTGAAGAAGGATCTTATTAAGTTCAAGGTCAGCCTGGGCAGCTTAGCAAGACTCTGTCTCAAAATAGAAAATAAAAAAGAATGGCAATGTAGCTCAGTGGTAGAGCACCCCTGGGTTCAATCCTTAGTACCAAAAAGAAAAACTGGGAAAAAATACAAGATGTGTATCCCTCATCTGAAACATTGGATTTCAGATTTCCAGGTTTTTCTATTTTGGAGTATTGGCATAGACTTTACCAGTTGTGCATCTCCAATCTAAAACTCTGAAATCTAAAACTCTAAAAGCCAAAACTTTTTGAACATCATGAAAAGTGCTTGAGTTTTAGCTTTTGAATTTTTGAGTTAGGGGACATTCAACCTTTCTAATAGTAGCTGTGTCCTAGAGTAGCTGAATAGCTAAGGAAGCAAATACAAATGAAGTGCCTTTAAAAAAAAAAGAAAGAAAGAAAATTTACAATGATTAAAAAAAAACAAAACATCTTGGGACTGGGGTTGTGGCTCAGCACTAGAGCACTTGCCTAGTGTGTGTAGCAAAAAAACAAAATAAAAAATTTAGCAAAGAAATGCCACATGCTGCATGGCTATCCTCGGGGCTCAGTCGACCTTCAGTATTACTGTCCTTCACCATTATCGTTGTCCTTGGATCTTCCTTCCTGACCACAGCAAAACCTTTGCTTAGCTCAGTTAAGTTGAGCAGACCTTGTCTTTTCCAGTCTAGTCCATGTGTTCATCAGTTTTGTTTCCTCCAGCCAGTCCCCTCAATTTCTCAAAGAGAAACTACCCGAGGGAAAACTTAGGGAAGGTACTTCAAGATGCTTAATTGGATATATATTATCTCAGGGAGAATTTTTTTTTAATATTCTTTTAACTGAAAGGGTCAGCTCCTTTTGACCAGGCTTTGCCAAGGGGGATCCCAAAATATCTGATAGTTCTGAAATTAGGGAAAGCCTGCCTTGACCTTCCTGCTTGTGGTCCCTGGGCATTCCGCCCATCTTGACTCTGCTAAGCCCTGTGATAAGTACTCCAGCAAACAAAGCAACCCTGTCCCTGCTCTGAGAGAGAGGGTGGTTCTGGTGGAGAGACAGACCCTAAGCAACCCACAGGACACCATATTGTTACAAGACAAAAAAATGGATACCTGCTGTGAAGGAAAGGTTATCCCCTTTTTTTTGGAACTAGGGGTCAAACCCAGGGCTTTGTGCGAATGCAAGGCAGACACTTTGCCACTGAGCTTCATCCCAGCCCGGGAAAGCTTATCTTGATAACTAGATTTTCCAAGCCACATTTCTCCCAGGAAGCTGTATCCTTAGAATAGCTTTTTTTTTTTTTTAAATCCTTTTTTCCCAGAAGGAGGGAGATGTTAGTTGTATGTATTGCTTCCCCCCTATAAGAATCCTTTCCACTGCAAAATTTTCCAGGCTATAGTCCAAGGGGTGTATTTCTCCTTCCTTTCCTCCAGTTTCAACAACCCAGGTCCAGAGAGATTCAGGAGTTGGGGTCAGCCAGAGAATGTAAAATGAGCCTTGAGATGCTGTAGTTACACTGCGAATCTTTCATGAGGTTAGGGGCCTGACGAGCCCCAGAGACTACCTTGAGTAGTAGTCTATGAAAATGATGGCATGGAAGGGAGCAGTTGGCAGCACCTTTCAGATTTTCTCTGTCCTTTACATGGAGAGGGAGTCTGGTTAGCCTCCCTGGGATGTCCAGGGACAAGTAGCAATTTGCCTCTTGGAAGTGGGGTAAGCATGTAACTTATGAAGAAAGGCAAGGATTGAATTTTTTGCTTTCTTTCATACTCCATGCCTCACTTACTGCACTCCCACGATCATTGAGCTGTCGTAAAACCAGCCAGAGTGGCACTAATAGCTATAAGTGGGGCTTCATTGTCATCATCACAAGGGATTTATTCAATGCCTGCATTGTGCGCAGTGCAGCCATCCTCATGACACTGCTTGGGGCGAGGACAAGGCTGTACTAAGGCCCCCTCTCCCGGGAAGCTGTAACACCGTTCCTTCCAGTCTGCTAACTACTGAGGCAGCCTTAAACAAGTCCCTGGTTGCACTCAGCCTTGAGGAAGGGACAGCATGGCCTTCCCTCTGCTCACCAAAGATTTAAGATGAGTATAGAAGCCTCCTTATCCTTATTTTATCTTTGAAAGATGTGTAATGATATATTAATAAGAAAATAAACCAACAAACACAGAGGTGTGGGGCAAACAATATATTTAGTCAACTTTTTGTTGCTAAGACCAACAGTGAGACAAGAACAACTCAGAAGAGGAAATTTTTATTTTGGCTTCAGAGGATGGTTTCAGAGGATTTGGACTATGGTTGACTAGCTCCAAGGCAAAAACGTCATGAAGGAAGAGAATGGCAGCCAGGAAGTAGTCTAGAGAAGAAGAGGAAGGGAACAGGGACAGACTCCCTGAGGTCACACTTCAGTAACTTATTTGAGACAGGATCTTACTAATTTACCAAGGCTTGCTGTGGACTTGCTACCCTCTGTCCTAGCTTCCCAGGTACCAGTGATTACAGGTATGGGCTAAGTTTTTGTGTACTTTAACGTCTACCTTCCAGCCCTCAGTCACACCACACTCTCATGCTACCTTACTTTATCATGATGTGTTTGCATCTTATCTGTCTTTGAGAATAAGGAGCTTTTTTGGATCACTTTTATGTTTCTGCACATTTAGCAAGTACATTAGAAGTAAAAGACAATTAGCTGATACTCATTCTAACTTTTCCTAACTTAAGCTATAATTTTTTTTAGATACAAAGTTTGATATTAAGTATATCTGAAATACAAATTTTGAAAAACTGCAATTTGGGTTATCATGAACTGCACTGTGACATCATTTTTACTGTTGTATTATTTCTTTAAATGTCCTAAATTAAAATAAACTAAGATGCTTAGAAAAAAAAAGAAGTAAAAGACAATAAATTTTAATTGGATGAATGAATCAGTAAAGTGAGACTCACTGGAAGGACACAGCTTTTTATTTCTATATCCACTGGCTTAGCTTTAGTGGGTGCTCAAAAATGTTTATTGAATGAATGAATGATTGAAAAATTGTATAGCTAAATAAACAAATAGATGAATAGCTAGAGCCCCAAAGTATAATGCAGGCATGATGAAAGTCAATGATCCATCAGAACGTGCCTGAGGGGAAGTATTTCAAGACATCCTGACAAATTAGAAAATCATGGCTCAGAGAGCATAAGTAATAAACTGAAGGTCACAGTAGCAAAGCCAGTGTGGCATTGTGAGGAGTTAGGAGGCAGATAAGAGGGAATGAGGCCCAAGACCACCCTCACTTCTGACACCAGTCACAAATTCTGATGTGATGTGATGACCCTCAGGTTCAATAATTTGCCAGAAGGATTTACAGAACTCCCTGAAAGCAATTATACTCACAGTTGTGGTTTATTACAAAGAAAAGATGGAGTTTTAGAAACTAGCCAGGGGAAGATATACATCTGGTAGACTGCAGAAAACTATGAAATTCGGGGCTTTTGTTGTTCTACCTCATAGAATCAGGAGAGCGTTGCTTCTTGGTATTGATGTATGTCAGTACCCATCGAAGAATTCACCACCCAAGCCTGGCTGTTAGGAATTTTTATTGGACTCCATTACATAGACAATGACTGGTTGATAGTTCACATGTATCTCAGTCTCTAAGTCAGCATATACCAAGTAACCCAGTACCCCCACCTGAAATCACATCTTTGGTCTTTCTTCTATGACTGTCCCCCAGCTGACTTTGGGATGTGACCAGCCCTCGACCTAGATCCCCATATTAGACTGTCTACCAAAGACCTCAATCAGAACAGTCCAGGGGGGTCAGAATTTACTTCACAAGGACAAGGACAAGGCTAGACCTCTCTTTGGATAAGATTCTTCCCCACATAGTACCGGAAGCATCCATGTTGAACATTATTGTCTTCATCTGGGTCTGTTCACTGGCTTCCTCACTCTCAAACACAAATGAGCTATGAGAAAGTCTTCCCTGGATAGAGAGAGGACTCCACCTTAATAGGAAGCTGAAACTAAACCCACTTCATGCCTGAGGCCTCTGGAGCTTGGGGCTCTATCATCCAGAGTTTGGTCCAGTGCTTTATTATGAAAGCCACATTTTCTTCGATCCAATTAAGGATACACTTCTCACCACAGGCAAAGTCTCTACCGGAAAAGATTCTTTAGGAACTATCAGACTGTGAAACAGGCCTGGAAACTTCTCCATTTGAGCCCATACCACTGTGGGGAGTGGAATTTTGTTCGTGTCCTGCCTGTTATACTGCTTCCTTCCCCAGGGCAAAGAGGGATCATCCTAAAAGGCAATGGTCAGGTTCACATAAGTTTTGCACATAGCACTGCTTCTGTTGCAAGCTGAGATGGCCTTGTTCTGTGAAGAATACAGATGTGGAGAAAGTAGCAGGTTGTCAGGCATGATGATGACTGCAGGGGGTTGGGTCCTCTCCTGATGGTTTTTTTGCTTTAGCTGTGCAGTGGGCAAGGCATTTACTGCCTTTTTACCTCTGTCTTCCCCACAATATGCAGCTCTGGGATTGACACATTGTGAGGTCTCAAGGAACACCATGAAATTGGATCTGCTGCTTCCTCCCCCAGCCCCTGCCCCAGCACATACACACACCCAACACTGATTGCAAGGCACTATGTTTATTTCAGCCTCTTGGGGCACCTTCTCTTTCTCCCTCACACCTATGGTTCTCACAAAAGGCTCCTGACTGACCTGAATCAAGTTAGAACCTAGTTCTTCAAACCAAACTGTGGGTCAAGGTGAAAGAGGACTTTCTCTTCCCTCTCAATTCCAAGGGTTATGTGTTTATAGCAAAACAAGTCCACTGTCCCCTGCTGTGTTCTCCAGGTCCTCTGTGAACACTTACCCAGTGGTCATGGTGTTTACTAGCCTGTTGTGCCCCACCAGGCTGGGCTTTTTGCTTGTGTGGGTCCATGTAAATGTTCACTTATAGTTGTAAGTCATCCTGCCCTATTTGTCACCCTCTTTCCATTCTTATGTTCCCTCCCGATTGATAGGTGCTTTGCTGGGACATGTTGCCTCCAACTGTGGCACTGAATCTTCCCTTCTCAATTTCCTGGCATTCCCTCACTTGGTTTGTGTGGTTATCTTCATAGCAGTTCCGAGTCGGAAATGGAGGAAGAAGAGGAAGAGGAAGAGGAGGAGGAGCAGCTGCCCACTTCTGACCTGGGTGGTGTTCCTTGGAAGGAGGCTGTAAGGATCCATGCTCTTCTGAAAGGGAGGAGTGAGGAAGAGTTAGAGGCCTCCAAGAGCTTTGAGCCTGGGGAGGGAGAAGAGGAGGAGGAAGAGGAATATGAAGAAGAAGAGGAGGAAGAATATGACGAAGAGGAGGAGGAGTCCAGTGAAGGTCAGAAAAAAAGTCTCTTCTCCTAACCCTGACCCTGTCCCTCTGAAATAATCTGTCCCATGTATGAGAGTGACAGGTTTCATTGGCTGGAGTCACATGGACATCTCCCATAGAGCTTCAAAAGAATCCTTCCTGTTGCTCCCTGACCTTAGGTACAGGGGCAGAGGAAGGATACCAAATCGGGCAGACAGGCCACTGTGGGAATAATGTCCTTGGTGCAAATTCAAATTTTTAATTGGAAGTAGAAAATATGGGCCAATCTAAGGATTTTGACCTAATTAACCTACTCATTCCTGTCTCCTTCTCATTTCCGCCCCCCCCCAAGCCCTTTAGTTTCAGTTATAGACATTGATTATAATAAAACAAGGGAATTTAGCTTCCTAGAGGAATCCTTGATTTCTGATATTGAGTAATGAAGACTGCTTTGAGCTAGATGCCCACCAGACAGGGTGCTGTCAGTGATACTCAGAATAACATTGTGGGGGGTTAGGGACATAACTCAGTTGGTAGAGTGCTTGCCTTGCATGCACAAGGCTCTGGGTTCAAGCCCCAGCACCAGAAAAAAAACAAAACAAAAAGAACAGAATAACATTGTGGGGCCAGAAATCCTGAAAAAGAGCATCTTAATTGCAGAATTCAGTCATCCTGGTTGGTTCTGAAATAATTCTCTTAAACTCAAGATTTTTTTCAATTTTGTCCCTCTCTCTGGCTCTATGTAACCTTAAGTGATGATGATGAACTTGCTGAATAGAAAGAGAGGGTCATTCTTTCCCAGCCCTAGCTGTACAGAGGTCCTGTAGGAGGTGAGGAAGGAAGTAGCACAGTTAGAGACCTGACTCCCCTGAGGAGGTTTTTTACTTTCTGTCCTGGGGACTCAGAACCAATGGATATGGGCCTTCTAATTTCTAAGCCCCAGTTTCTCCCCAGGAGTCAGAGGAACAGATTAAATTCTGAACAGAGTGGGGACAGTGGAGTTGTACATGATTGCTCTGCTAGGACTTATCTCTGCTTCTTCTGAAATTCGATGTGCTCACTACCTAGGCCCATCGCAGGGGCCATTTCCTCTGACACTGTAATATTTTAGCCCTTCACAGGCAGGGCTGTGATCCACAAGCCAGACCTGACACCTGTGCAGTTTAAGACAACTATAAAGAGGTGGTGGGGACAGGATAGCACCTTAATCATGAGACCCTGGACTTGAGTGGTCCGGGTCAGGGCACTTCCTTAGAAACTTCCCTGTGGAGTTTCTCTCCCTGTCCTCCTGCACTCGCCCCTCTGAAAGTGGAGACCAAGGCTGGACCAAGACTTACAAGGCAGTATGCTTTACAGCCTATACTCCCCGCCCAGTATTTTTATGAGCCTTGAGTAGGTCTGTGCAAGAAGGAGCTAGGCCCTGGCTGGAGCCTGAGTTCTCTCATTCTGCCATGTCTTCGGAGCCACACTGGTCCAGAGTTGCCTCCATGTTCCCCTAATTAGAGGAGGTAGTTGGTGCAGGGGGAAGGTATTTTGTTTGCTTCATTATCTGTGATTATTATGCTTAATGACTTTTAGCTTCAACACAGCTTAGAGTCAGAGCTTTTTCCATTTTCAGGAGAGTTTAGCCCACTTTCCCCTTATGAAGACTAACTTCTTGGGCTTGGACTTAATGTTAAGACCAGACCTATAGGGAATTGGGGCCTTAGCTAGAGAAACCCATACCAAAATATTCAGTCAAACTCTAGACATTTCCAGGCTGGGAACTTTGTGTTCCCAGCCTGGAGTATGTCTTCTGGGCAGTGGACTTCCACACCTGTGTAGGCAGTGACAGGATGCTACTATCTTGTCACTGAAGATAACTCTGCTTTCTATTCTTTTTCCTCCTTTCCGTTCCCTTTTCTCTCCATTTGTCCCCCTGCGGGATTCTTGATGCTGCTTGTGGGTGTCTGGCTCCCCCTGCTGTAGAAGGGGAGTATTGCCCCTGGGACAGAGAACTCCTGCAAGGCCAGTGGCTCCAGCATCTCTCAAAGGAAGAAGAAACGGGTACTTGTAAAGGTACCCACTTCGCTCCCCTGCCCACCTTCTACCCTGGCTCCCTAGCAGCCATCCAAAATTTGCCTCCAAGAGCAGGTCCCACATGAAAAGATCTGTGCTTTTTAGAGCTACGCTGCACATATCTAGCTGGGCACCTGTCTCTGGGCCCAGCCTTCCCGGACAAAGTAGAGAATAGCATATTCCAGAAATGGAATATGGCCCCATTTCTATCCCTGTGGGTTTTTCTGAAATTTCTCCTTATCCAGTTAAGATTCAGTTTCTTCTCTAATGCAGAAAATCTCACAATGCGGCCACAGCTCTTCTGTCACCACCACCACAGGTGCCTTTAAACATTTCTCTGAGAAAGAAAGAAGTGCTGGCTTCATGCTGTTGATAAATCCCCAAGGCTGCATGTGGTAACAGGAAGCAGAACATTACTCAGGGAGAAGACTCACTCTCTTCCCTTGTTGCTTAGAAGGTAAAGAAAGGTCCTGCCTCTTTTCTTTTGACTTATCTTCCCCAGGCCTAAATCTGAGCTGTTTGGAGGTGTTGCTGTAATTCGGCCCCCTCCACTACCATAAAGGCAGATAAACTGGCCTTGCAAATAGTCCTTCAGTCTATAGAGACCAGCAGCTCCAGTAAGGGAGCCCATGAGGGACTAATACCCCACATTAATAGCATAGGTCAGCATCCACATTGGTGATCTTATTGGTTCTTCCAATCCAAATCAGAGGTTGTCACAAAACTAAAACCAAGTTGTCCAGTTAGATTATTGAAGGAAGGGGTGACATATACTCACAGATAGACACAGATAGGCTCCTGCTAAGAACTGAAGAGTCCTTCAGATCGATGGCACCTGCTCTTGCTGCCTGAATAGTCGTCCTTCCTTCTGTAGTATCCCCTCCTTCCAAGTTGCTAGCTATTCCTTTATCTTAACCCCACTGTGTAGCATGATGCAAGCCCTAATGATAGGGATCTCACAAGGCAGGGACTGCATGCAGATTCCACAGGCTCTGTTAGCAAGAATAAGCTGAAAGGACTGCCTGTGAGTCTTCATTTAACTGAGAAACCAGGTCTCATGTCCAGAGGGTTCAGTAGGATACCAAATGAAGTTTTAAGGAAAGGAGCTTTGATAGTTTTGATTGGGGGGGGGCAAAGAGGTGTGGGTCTCCTCCCTACCCCTAAACTCCTGGAGTTTGGGGACTTCACAAGCTAGAGTTCTGCTTCTTCCCTAAGCTGCTGCCTCCCCTAACTCCATCCTCCCCAACATCTGTGTCCCTGGCAGACCCAGCATGCAGCATGAGGAAGATCTCTTATGGAAGGGGCTTTTCTCTCTCTAGTAGAAGCTCTTACTGCAGAAAACAAAAAAATACAATATAAACATAGTACATTTTTGTCCTATGTGAGTTGACTGGCTTGTGGCAGAATGGCACTGTCCCATCCCACCTTTCTGTTGTCACTTGACTGGAGTCTCAGAAGTGGTCAGCTTGGCAAGTGGTGGTAAGCACTTTGCTGTATTATCAACAGAAGGGGCATGAATGGCGTGACCTAGAGGGTCTCATGCTGTGCTAGGTAATCAACCTGAGTTCTTATCACTCTTGGAGGAATGGCCCTTCAGAAGTCAGTTGTCATCTGCTTTTTCTCCACCTTGGCATTTGGATCCCTCAAAAATCATTTTGGATGAAAAGGGCAGCAGAATCTGCATTTGGAGTTGCAATGTGTGGTTCTCTTTACTGAAATTAATAGTACACATGAAGTTCAAAATGACTAATCCAAACTGAATGACTAGAAGTTACATGCGTGTGAGCACATGTTCTTGATTTTTACTTCTTTCTATTCAAACTGCTCCTGGCAAATACTGTAACTCTTCTTTCTGTTTCCTTTCCTGTGATGTTTTATCCCCTCCTTTTCTGTTTATTTTCTCCTCCCTGTCATCTCCATCCCTTAAACCTGGCACATTAGCTGGGAACCACAGGCTACAGCAGATAATAAATCCAGCAGATCCCTTGGCGATCCAGGCTGATGTGCACTGGACACACATTCGTGAGAAAGAGGAGGAAGAAAGAATGGTCCCAACCTCTGAATCTTCCACTTCTAGAGGTAACTGCTTCGAGACCCAGGATCCCATGTGCTGCTATCAGCAGCTTTCATCCCTGCATCCCTTCCTGTTGCTGTAGAGGACCTTTCTCCTAAGACCAAAGCCTCCCGTTTTGATCAAAAGTAGAACCCAACAAAACATTACATTTTCTGCTGTTAACCCAGACAAGTGTCCTTGACTCTCATTTGAGGATATGTAAAGTTCTCTATGGATTAAGAGGTTGCAGGCTCTTTCTCCAGTAATGCAAAATAATAAACTGAATTTGACCTAGGGAAAAATGAGAATTCACTTCCTGTCCCCCATATTTCTCGGCTGGGGTCTTCTTTGCCCACTCTATAGAACATGCTGGTGCTTTCCTCATGGAGTGTGTCTGAGTGTGACTGTGTATGACAGGAGGAGGAGAGGGAAGCATATTTAGAAGTAAAATTAAGAAGAGATATATATCAGGGAGGTTTCTAAATTCACTGCATTATTTTCAACTCCAGGTTTTAGGTGAGTTGGTCTGTGTTTCCCAATAAGATGAAAACGTACCTTATTCAGTGGTTTTTGTTTATTAGTTTTGTTTTGCTTTGTTTTGAGACAGGGTCTCACTATGTTGCTCAGGCTGGTCTCTGACTCCTGGTCTTGAGTGATCCTTCTGCCTCAATCACCCGAGCAGCTGGGCTCCAGGTGCATGCCACTGCACCTGGCCTCTCGCTTCTTTTAAGGAATATCAATAATAGAAAACAAAGGACTCTGTTGAAGTATTCATTGACTGCATATCATTCCTCTCAGCTACCCATCTTCCAATATGGACACTTGGTCATCACCTCTGTCTGGCTCATGTAGCTTCACATATTCTTTGTGCCTATTACAGGCCACACACCCTTCAAGGCTCTGGGTATACAAAAGGGATGCTTCCTTGCCCTCGTGAAACTTAGCCTTTAATGTACTATTTTATCCTTCCAGCCCCCAACTCTTCCCTTGTAGGTAAGACCAGCCTCTGTTAACAGCTTTTGCAGAACTTTAGATACCCAGAAGCTATGCTGAACTTGATGTGAGAGCCCCCGCTGACCAGAGCACCTGACTGACCTATGGCATCGACCAGGAGCATCCTGCAGCCTCCCTTGGGTTTTCTCTCAGGATAACAGCGGATCATTACCCTCATCCATGCCAGACAGGCCACTCTCTACTCAGTTTCTTTTCTGTTTTGGACTTTAGGAATGACCGCAGCTCTCCTCACTGGGAATGCTTACTGCTGTGTAACTTTGTATTTATCGTCTGTTTTAAATTCAGTGCCTGGCCTTCCTTCCATACGCCGTGCAGCAGTGCAGGCCTGGCTGGAGACGGTCTCCGGAGGTAGTTGGTGATGTTTGATCTTTTCCCACTCACCATAACCTTTCTCTTTAGGCAGCTCTGCTGGTGCCTTAACACTAGAACTCTGGTCCTGTCGCTGGTGCATGCGAGGGTGGAGCCAGAGGCGGGCGGGGGCACATGCATGCCTCACTCAGGCAGCCCATCCTTGCATGGACCAGAAGTGCATCCAACATTCTACAGGGCAGATTGGAGGAGAACATTAGTGGAGACAGGACTTGTTCCATTAATAGAGGTTGAATACAATGACCAAAGCTAAAGGAACCTTTTTTAGCACTGAGGTTTAAGTATGTAAAAAAATAGGTAGTAATTGACTGTGAAAACAGAGAAATCAAAATAAAATTCCACAAACCTACCAAAATATCAGAGAAGGAAACAGTCAAGACTCAGGGACAGAGGGCATTTACAAGAATTATCAGAGAGAAGGGGAGGGCAAAGGACTGGTGTTTTACAGCTAAGGGAAGAGGGTACAAGCAGGACATATTAAGCTACAGGTGTCTTTTCAGCTATTTATGCCATGAGATAATTGGTAAACCTTAGTTGTCTTTTCTAAATTTTTTCTGGAAACATTTCTCAGTGAGGGGGGTCTACATGAATTCGGGGCAGGCTGTTCTTTCCAGTGCAGGATGTTTATCCTTGGCCTCTGCCCTCCAAATGTTGTACTGTCTCCATTCCCAGCCTAGTCGTATAACAACCAAAGACATACACATATTTTCTAACACTGTTAGAAGAGAAGGCAGCATTGCCTGCTGTCTAAGGAATATGGCATTAGCAGTTGCATCCAGGATGGGCAGGACTGACACACATGGATCTTAACCACCAGGCTCCTACCATTCCAGCCTATTGTCTTCACCAACAGCAGGAAAAATAGATAAATATCAGGAGGAATCTTCCCAATGTATAAGAGAAAGAATGCCGTCAGGTGTCTGATTCAGCTGGCCCTGAGCCATCAGCCCTCGACATAGGAGCTGCTGAGAATTTCTAATTAGTGTGCATCCAGATGACAGAGGGATAAGATGGAGGAAGGGGCACTTCCCAGCTGCCACCTGAAATAAACAGCAATTCCTGGCTTTCGTAGTGTGTAACTCATCAACTTGTGTGGCCGCTTCTATCACCCTGCACTTCATCTTAACCTAGATTCCATTCGCCAGTTTCACTGCTCAGGCTGCGTCTCCTTCAGCATCTGCTACTGCTGCATTGATAGTTCTCCCATGTTTATTTTTTGATGTATGTGATAATTGTTCTTTTCAAGGTACTTCAAGAAGTATAGAACCTTACCCATCTAATTCGACAGTAGAGGTTTCTTAGTAGAAACTCCAAGTAGGAGAACCACATGAAAGGACCAAGGGATCAGGACTGGGATGGGCCAATCCAGGGAATTGGGGCAAGCTGGGGAGTTCTATGGAGTGGTCTTTGTGCTTGCTTCCAGCCTACTTGCCAGCAAAAGTATACCAGTGTCTCTTCTACCACCTAAATGCTAGGCATTCACATATTTATTCAAACAAATAATGTTATTCACAAAAGACCTCCCCCCCTTACCAGATAGGCCCAGATTCTGTTCCCACTGATCTATTTGGAGTAGATTTGGGCTTTCTATGGTATAGTGCCACAATGAGCAGACTTCCCAAGTATAAAGCTCAATTTGAGAAGGAGCCTAGAGGACATGGGTGCTTGTAGATAGGCTTTTGTTTGTGCCTCATAAATCCCATTCCCTGGTGTTTGGTGAACTATCTTCCATCAGTGGCCAAAAGCAATGTGATTGCTCAGACCTATAGAAGCAACTGAATAGTTTTTCCCTAGAAAATGTTATCACCCCAGGAGAGAGTATCTTGGCATTGCCAGCTTGCTGGTTACTCTGGTGTCTCAGAGGGAAGGGCTTGGCATTCACAGTTCACCAGCCTAGAACTTACTCTGGACAGTATCCACCATCCCTGGAATGCCTGTGTGCTCCATTCTAAACCTCTTTCAACAAAAACTAAATTTGAACCACTATCTTAAAAGTTATGCATAAAAAATAAGTACACAGCTTAAGGGATTTTTTTTCCCTATACTGCAGACTTCATCCAGGAACACTTCACCACTGAACTACATCCCCAGTCCTTTTAGATTTTAATTTTGAGGCAGAGCCTCACTAAGTTGCATAGAGCCTGGCTAAGTTGCTGAGGCTGGCCTTGAATTTGTGTTTCTCCTATCTTACCCTCCCAAGTCACTGGGATTACAGGCATATACCACTGCATCCAGCTCAATTTAAAGAATTATTAAGGAATAAAACTCATGTAATTGCCACATTATTAGCAGTTTCAAAGGGCTGCACAAACTGTTTCAGCACATTGCTTCTTGACATCCTATCACTAGACTGCAGTCACTAGTTTGGTCTGTAAAGAAGAAAACTTCATTTTAGGGCATATGGCTATTATCCTCTCTCATTTTCAATTCAGCTTTTTTAAGAAATTTACCTGAGTTTAGCACTCCCATACCTTAGGCATGTAATTAATTTTGTGTATTCTTTTCCCTATTAAAAAAAAAGTGGGGAGGATTTACCCTATTTATTTATTTTTTATTTAAGGAATTTACTCCAGCTGTGCCACAACCAGTTCCTCTACTCCTTCCCCTACCTGGGGCCTGGAGGGGCTAAGGGGGGCCAGGCAGGTTGGACTCAGGCTTATATGCAAATCGAAGCATAACTTTGTTTCTTGAAATTAACCCCTTGGGGAATGACTGAAGAGTGGTTGTGCTTGGAACCCTAGAAGGAGCCCTGAGGACCCCTGGCAGATGGGTGCTATCAGTCTCAGGGGACTGTCTCAGAATCCTTGAGACAGTACTTGTTGCTTTCCTCACTGCTCTCTCTTCGAGTCCACTGTTCATGCAGGTGCAGATTCTTAGTATGCAGAGTTTGGATGCGTGGTGTGTATGTTTAGGGGCTGGTTCCTTAGGAGAAATGAAGTGATTGAGTGCCTTGCTTCATTTTGTAGCACCAAAGGGATACTCTTGACTCCAAAAAAGGAACTTTACATATCGCCTCAGTTCTTCTCCCTTGTTCTTTAACAAAGTATTTCTCTCTAAGTTATCACAAGAAAAGCTGCAGCTTCTACCAGTGGGAAGGGTGGGATCCTCTCCCTCAAAGGTAGAGGGAAGAAACAATTCCTCAAATTGTATCATTGTGAGATTTAAATGACCCCTGACTTCAGTCGTTAGGAAAGTATCTGAACTTAAGCACTGATAGCTGGAAGCTAGTGTTACTGCTAGAGCTTGATTTAGGTGCCTGTTGGGCCTAGGCAGTGACATTTTACCTCTGACATCTTGGACTTGAGACTGTTAAAGCAAACAGTCTATGGGAAAGAGGGAACCTGGCCAGGCCTTCAGCTGCTCTTCTCCTTCCACTTGACCCTACTCACATTGAAAAATGGCCTGGGCCCTCCTCACTGCTCTTAAAGCACTCCTCACGTCCATCCAAGTGGATTTCTCTCTTCTCCAGTAACCCATCTTTCTCCTGCATAGACATCCTTTTTCTGTCTTTTCTTTTCTTCTTTTCCTGGAGTACCTCTGCCTTACAGCCCCATTGGATGAGAATGACCTGGAGGAAGATGTGGACTCGGAGCCAGCAGAGATAGAAGGGGAGGCAGCAGAGGATGGGGACCCTGGGGACACTGGTGCTGAGCTGGATGATGGTATGGGGCCCCAGCCTCCCTCTCCACTATGGATACAACCTGTTCCCCATAGGGGGAATGGCCTGAGTGGTTAGAACTTAAGAATGTTCAAGAAAAATCTACTTTAAAGCAAAAGCTCAAGGGAGTCAACTGTTTGGCTCCCTGGGTGATTCTCTGTCCCATCAGTGACTTACACTTGTTTTGTTTCACCCACCCAGAAGCCAATCTCCTGTGTAGCCTGCGTGAATTGAGTTATGGTTGAGAGCTGAGCAAATTTCAGACTATTCAGGGCCTTTAATCTATTAGATGCCCTTTGGCATTGAGAGACAGGGACATTTTAAATAATTTTAAGAATTGTTGTCTCATTGGGCAAAAAGGAACAGGGACTAGGCTGGACAGAAATGAGAATAAAAGTTGAGGTTAAGATCATGAGGGATTATAGATGTAGTCTATGGTCTGGGCTGGGGACTGGTGAAATAACAAGAAAGATAAGTCCAGGAAGCAAGGCCCGCTTTTCTGCAGGTGTAACCCAAGCTTTTCTTCCTGTCATGCCTTCATATGTCATGGTGCTATTTTTAAAAGTAAGTGGAGCACCACAGGCTTCAATGAGACCCCACACTACAGAGGGCAATGTACCTTGCTTCAGGAGAGTGCTTTGGCTGAGTCTCTTGGAAGCATTCTCAGAAGGCAGGGTCTGTTGCTGAATAATAGACAGGGCTCACCATCACAATCCATGCCTTGCACCACTGTGCACATGTGTCCATCCAACCACTGGGCCATGAGAGTAAGAGATAGAAAAGGAGTGTGGCCTGGCTCACGATTTGTGCCAATTTGTGTTCCTTCCTCCCTCCACTAGATCAGCATTGGTCTGATGACATCCCATCAGATGCTGAAATGGAGCTTCGCTTGCGACGCCACCCTGAAGTAGAAGCAGAGTTAGAGCTGAGGGTAATAGAAAATGAGGAGGAAAAGCCATCTGCCTTACCAGTGCAACAAGAAAGAGGTAGGTCTACTGCGACCAGCAGGAGACAGCAGCTTCCAGAATGCCTACAGAAGCCACAGGGCAGGCTGGGTGGCATGGAGTCAGGGCCTTTAGTTGGCCCAGGGCTCCACTCCTCCTCTTGCTCTTCTTGTCTGCCCTGCAAATGACTTCAACCAGCAGTTCCTTTCCTTGTGTTGCTTGGGATCATGAAAAGGTAGAAGGTCCATCTCAAAGCTTGGAACCCAGATTGTACACACAAAGGGTTACTAGTTCTTGGGGAAGTGAATTCCGGGAGTCCTCTCACTCCTGAGATGTGTTTTTTCTAGACTAGCCTGAGTACAGACCCAGGGACACAGCATGCCTTGGTTCAGCTAAACCTCTGCTCTCCCTGCCTCAGCGGTCAGCTGGATGTAGTATGATGCCCTCCACAGAACTTCCTGGAGGCCCTCTCAGTGTGAGTGGGGCTGGTAGGATGGTTTCCTCTTTTAAATCCTGTGTCCCTTCTTGTCAGGTCCTTCTCAAGTCTCCAGCCCCGTCCAGTCCCCTCAGGAACAAGCCATTCTTTCTACCCCAGCATCTAGCCACAGAGCAGAGGTAAGTATTGGGGCTCACTTTGAGGGACAAGGGACTGATGGAACTCCTGTCTTTGGGCCCATGGTGTGAGCCCCCTCAAGAAGTGGAGGTGAAGTAAACTACTACCCCCATTCTGAGGAAAATTACATATTTTTCACTCCTTGTGTTAAGTGGAGCTGTTGATTATATAATAGGAGTGGGCTTGGGATTTTAACTCAGTCTTCTTGATGTATGGACAAATTTGTTTTTAAAGTCATATTTATAGGATCATGGATTTATTATAATAGATATATTTTTTCTTTATGTTAAAATAAATGTATAACCATTTAAATACTGCCTGGAGGACAGATCAGGGTGGTAGGCCAAGACACTAGACCTAGGTTTTTGGATTATGGCAGCATGGCATCATTCAGTGATTTTCTTTTTCTTTTTTTTTTTTTTTTTCTTCACTGTACTGAGGGTGGAACCCAAGGCCTGACACATGCTAGACAAGCACTTCTCTACTGAACAACATCCCCAGACATTTGTATTATTATTTTATTTGGAAATAGAGTCTCACTAATTTACCAAGGCTATCCTTGAACTTTGAATTTTCCTGCCTCAGCACTACTCTGCCTCCCACCCAATTAGAAGTATGTTCCACTAGTGATTTAGTGATTTTTTTTTTCTGTGAAACAAGAGCTTTATTTTACTGAGATGCTGAGATAGGGCTATAATAGACTCTGTGTGCATCTTTAAGCTTCCTGGGAAAGGCAATGTGATTATAAAACATCTGCACGTAGTAACTATTTTAAATCTTACAGTGCTGGCCCCTGTGATGGCATGTCAGGGATCTTGGAGCTTTGGGAACTGCTAGTTGGGGTGAGAGCCAAATTCATTAGTATTTTTCTGCCATTGTTCATTTCAGTGGACAGAGAAAGTAGGGTGTGTTTGAGATGAAGCAAATCCTGAAAGCTCAGACTATTCAAACTAAGAGGGGTTCTAAAAATTTGACAAATAGAGCAGAAAATGAGGAAGTTTTTCCTGGAGCCATTTGAATCATAGATAAAATGATAGAGATTTATTTCAACATACACAGGCCCTTTGAGAGGAAAATTCCATAAAGAATGTTGTTGACCATGAAAACGTTCACTTCTAAGCAGCTTCTGTCTTGCCTTTCTGTAGGGACCCCAAACCCCACTTGCCTCTGTTGCCACCAAGATTAAATCCCCTGAGGAGCGCTTTTTCCCTGACCCTCTGCTCCCCAAAGAGAAGCCCAAAGCTGAAGCTCCCCCGGATCAGAAGACTGCACCCCCTCCCATCCGGTCGCAGCCTGTATCTCTGCCAGAACCAAGGACACCTACCTCACCTGTGAGCTCACAGTTTGTGGCTCAGGTGGCCCCTTCTGCATCCCCTTCCACCCAGCTCCCTATTTGCTCCCAGCCTCAGCCTTCCTCAGAGGCCACCATCCCATCCCCCACTGAGTCCCCCATACGCTTCCAGCCTGTTCCAGCCAAAGCTTCTACCCCTTTGGTCCCCTTACCTGTGAAAAGCCAAGCTGATCCCAAGAACAGACTGGACAGCCCTCTTGCTGTGGATGAAGCCCTGAAACGGAGTGACCTGGTGGAGGAGTTTTGGATGAAAAGCGCTGAGATCCGCCGCAGTCTGGGACTCACACCTGTGGAGCGAAAGAAGGGGCCTGAGCCCAGCTTCCCCTCACCTGCCTTCAAGCCAGTATCCCTAAAATCCTTTTCAGTTGAGAAGTCCCCTCAGGATGAAGGACTTCATCTTCTGAAACCTCCATCTGTTCCTAAAAGGCTGGGCTTGCCAAAGTCAGATGGTGAGCAGCCCTCCCTGCTGACTCCCAAATCTCCATCTGACAGAGAGCTGAGAAGCTCCCATGAAGAGCGGAGGGATCTGTCCAGCAGCTCTGGCCTGGGCCTTCATGGGAGCTCCTCAAACATGAAGACCTTGGGCAGCCAGAGCTTCAACACCTCAGACTCCACCATGCTCACCCCACCTTCAAGCCCACCACCACCCCCACCGCCAGATGAGGAGCCCGCCACCCTCCAAAGAAAGCCCTATCAGATATTTGAGCATAAAGAAACTGAGCCAAAATCCTCCATTATCCCACCTCCTCCACCTGCCACATTTATGCGGCCCCCACGAGAGCCTGCCCAACCCCCCAGGGAGGAAGTGCGGAAGTCATTTGTAGAGAGTGTGGATGAAATCCCCTTTGCTGATGATGTGGAGGACACCTATGATGACAAAACTGAGGACTCAAGTCTGCAGGAAAAGTTCTTCACACCCCCTTCCTGCTGGACCCGCCCAGAGAAGGCCCTCCACCCACCCCTGGCCAAAGAGAATGGACGGCTGCCTTCTCTGGAGGGTAGTGCCCAGCTGCAGAAGAGGGGACTGCCCTTGGTCTCTCCTGAAGCTAAGGAGCTGGCTGAGGAACGCATGCGAGCCCGGGAGAAGTCTGTGAAGAGCCAGGCACTGAGAGACGCCATGGCCAAGCAGCTGAGTAGGATGCAGGAGATGGAGATGGCAGCTGGGGCCTCCAGATCCCGCAAGGCTTCCTCAGCACCCTCCCAGAGCAAACAACTTTTGACAGAGTCCTCCAAACCCCCAGGTCTCAAAGGCTCTAAGGAGCCCACTCTGAAGCATGAAGCCACTAGTGAGGAGGTCCTCTCCCCTCCATCAGACTCAGGGGGCCCAGATGGTTCTGTCACCTCTTCTGAGGGCTCCAGTGGGAAGAGCAAGAAGAGGTCATCCCTCTTCTCCCCCCACAGAAACAAGAAAGAGAAGAAGTCCAAAGGGGAGGGCCGACCCACAGAGAAACCCAGCTCACGCCTTCCAGAGGAAGCAGCCACCAAACCCAAGTCCTTGTGGAAGTCCGTCTTTTCTGGGTACAAGAAGGACAAGAAGAAAAAGGGCGATGAGAAGTCATCCTCCAGCACCCCATCCAGCGGAGCTACTGTGGACTCTGGCAAGCACAGGATGTCTCCTATTGTAAGAGCAGGTACATCAGCAGCAAAGAGACCTTCGTAGGACAGAGTGTAAGGGGTACATTCTTGGGTCATTTTGTTGTTCTCAAAAGATCCACTTTCTTTCTTTTTTTTTTTTTGAAAGCAAGTTTTATTTTAAAAAAAAGATCCACTTTCACATGCTGATGGCCCAAAGGTTCTTAAGAGAGACGGGAACTGAACCATGAGTGCCCTGAGCATTTTCCTGCCTCATAAAATAACTCTAAAATCAGCTTGAAATTAGATAGGGTAGTCTTTGGAAGTTGGTACCCTTCCTAAAGTCACATTACCCCAAAAATGGCCCTGCTTTTGAGTGGGGCAGAGGGCACTTTTGCCTGGTGGTCCCAGACAGGTGTCCAGAGTTGTCATCTCTTCCAAGTGGCTCTGCCCCTGAAGGAATAAGCATCAGAGCCCAAGTTCATTACACCCCAATGTAAGAAGAAAATCACTTAAACTTGAAACCAAACCTCCAGCTGATCTGCCCCAGCTGCTCGAATGAGCATGGAAGTCAGTGTTGTCACTGTCCTCACTCTGCCTCTTTTTACCTCACAGAGCTGCAGCTCCGGCGCCAGCTGAGTTTCTCGGAGGACTCAGACCTCTCCAGTGATGACATCCTTGAGAGGTCCTCCCAGAAGTCCAGGAGAGAGGTGGGTGGGTCCATTCACTGGAGGGCCTTTGGCGGGCTGGCGAGTCTCGGCCTCTGGTAAGGTAGAAAACAGGGAAAGCCAGTCTAAAACCAGGGTGGAGAGTGAGTGCATTTCTGTGATTCCAGCAGGCAGACAGTGGAGTGCTGATCCCAGACCAGGGTCAGAAGAAGAGCCACAAAAGTCTTCCCTCAGGCCTTTTAAAGGGGAGAGAGGTATTTGCTTTCCTGGCAAGAGTTCCCTCATTCAGTTCCTGTGAAGGAAGCTGGAGATATTCCACATGGAAACCTTTATGTTTCCTTTAGGAAACAGCCTGGCACTGTCTATTCTTTCTCTCCTCAGCAATCCATGCAGGCAGTATCTGTCAGGATCCAGGCAAGGGGACAAGGGTTGCTCACACTCCAGGGTCATAGAGGCTGGGATAGAACACCAGGCAGTGGGACAGGAGGTGGGACCAGGTTGCTTACTCAGGAGTGGGCCTCATCATCCTGCCTGCTTGGTAGATTGGTTAATTAGAGGAGGGTTTTCTGCTTGGTAGATTGGTTAATTAGAGGAGGGTTTTGTTTGTTTGTTTGTTTGTCTGTCTGTTTTCCTGTTTAAGAACTGATCTAAGAAACTGACTTGGGTATGTGTCAGGTCTGACATGGGCTCTCTTGCTGCTCCAGAACTTAGGAAGTATGGCCACTCAGGTCTCCTAAGAAGCAAAGTTCTCTATATACAAAGTCCCTTCATCACTGGCTTCCTTTGGTGTTCATTTAGTTTTTGTTGTAGTTGTTGTTGTTTGTTTTGTTTTGTTTTTCAAGAGTCTTATAGCTTTGTCTCAATACAGTAAAGTTGGAGGAGGAAGAACTAGAGAAAGTTCTAGTGGGGCATCTATGTGACAACAACAGTGTTTATATGGGAACTAAGATCCATAAAGGCCTCAGCAGCAAGACAGGGGCAGTGATGCTCTGTGTGAGCCCAGTTACATCTTGCCCTCTGTCTAAGACAGAGCTAGACATTACCTTTCCAGGAGTAATAGCCCTGCTGCCCCTTACCTCCCTTTTTGAATAAAAATATACCCCAGAATATCATGTGCTTTTTTATGTATATATTTTTAGTTGTCGATGGACACAGTATTTTATTTATTTATTTATTTTTATGTGGTGCTGAGGATCAAACCCAGTGCCTCATGCATGCAAGGCAAGCACTCTACCACTGACCTACAATCCCAGCCCTCATGTGCTTTTCTGACAAGGCCTTTTGGAACTTTGGCTTGAGTCCCTCTTCATCAAAAACTTTAAACTGGTAGCCAGTACACCCCAGGGAAGACCATGGTGGTTCTGTGCCTCTCTGTGTACCAGTTCACAAAGATACCTTCTGAAGCCTGCTTCCAAGTTCCTCCTTCCAGCCTGATTCAGTTCTTAATTACTTGGAAAACTGAGCCAGACACAGTGGCACAACCTATAATCTCAACAACTTGGGAGTCTGAGGCAGGAGGATTGCAAGTTTCAGGCCAGCCTCAGCAACTTAGGCCCTTGGCAACTTGGTAAGACCCTGTCTCAAAATAAAAAATAAAGAAGGTTAGGGATGTAGCTCAGTACATACCTTAGGCTCAACTCCAAGTACCAAGAAATAATAAATAATATTAATAATAACTTGTCAAGCCCAAAGTTGTTGCACATGCCTATAATTCCAGGAGCTTGGGAAGCTAAGACAGGAGGATTATGAGTTCAAAGCCAGCCTCAGCAAAAGAGAAGTGCTAAGCAACTTAATGAGACCCTGTCTCTGTAGGGCTGGGGATGTGACTCAGTGGCTGAGTTCAATCTCCAGTACCAGAATAATAATAATAATAACTTAGAAAACTGGAGAAAGATAGTCAGCTTACTTCCCATCTCATTCTTGATGTGTTTGTCTCTAAGGCTGCATCAGCTCTTTCTTTATTATCCTAGAAGAACCTAAAATGACTGTTGTCTCTTCCTGCTTCACCTATCTACAGAGTTAGGTCTCATATGTCACTACCAGGCCAGCAGTGAGTTAAGGCCTAGCAGTCTTGTATGTTTTCCCTTGGGGGTTCAATTTACATGCCTCCTGTTGAGTACCCCTTGCTGAATCTCCCAGGCAGGACTATTGGTTCTGAACTGAGGGTTGCTTCTGGATTTGCATGTAGGTCTCTAAATACATTGGGGATGTCTTGGAATTCTTTTTTTTTTTTCCAGTTGTAGATGGACACAATACCTCTATTTTATGTATTTATTTTTATGTGGTGCTGAGGAGCAAACTCAGTGCCTCACACATGCTAGGCAAGCACTCTACCACTGAGCCAAAACCCAGTTCTGTCTTGGGATTTTTAAGGAGGTCTGTGAAGAAAGGAGAATGTTTCTCTTAACTTCCGCGGTGACCATGCAGATGTTCAGATAGTTATGTCATGTTGGTCAAAAACATACAGCTGTGGGGCTGGGGTTATGGCTCAGCGGTAGAGCGATTACCTCATACATGCAAGGTCTTGGGTTTGATCCTTAGCACCACGTAAAAAATAAATAAATAAAATAAAGTTTAAAAAAAAAAACCATACAGCTATGATTGCTATTATGGTCAAGTTTCTCCACTGCTTTCTCCACAAATTAATGAAGCATGTTGACAGTATGCTGATCAGCAGTCTTCCAACATTAGGCTATGCCAAGGCCATTATCTTGGTTCCACCTCCCATTGACGACAGACTTTCTTAGGGCCTCACAGGCACCAGAAACAAAGAAATTCATTTCCCTATTCTTGTGAGCGAGTCAAGGACCCCATTATAGATTCCTAGAACCACAGGACTGTGGAGACCTCACATTACCAGGCATCCTCTATAGGGACAGGGCCATTCACTAGAGATCACATAGGGAATGTGGAAGACAAGGGAGGGCCTACGAGGCTGCCAACCCAGCTCCTGCCATGACGTGGAGATGGACCAAGTGAAAGCAGAACACCATGTTTTCAAGACATGGAGGCTAAGGCAGAACAGAAACAGCTATAAAGGATGCTTTTAAAACAGTTAAAGAGGGCTGGAGTTGTGGCTCAAGTGGTAGAGTGCTCGCCTAGCACATGTGAGGCACTGGGTTCAATCCTCAGCACCACATAAAAATGAAATAAAGATATTGTATCCATCTAAAGCTAAAAAATAAATATTTTTTAAAAAGTTAAAGAAATTTGATCATGAATGGTGTAGTATATATAAATGTACCATCCAATTACCTACTGTAATCATGTAGGAAAATGTTTCTGTTCTTAGGAGGAAGTACATGCTAATATTTTTCAAGGTGAAAGTTTATGGTATCTACAAATAATTCAGAAAAAGAAAAGATTATAGCTGTATATTGTGGCATATACCTGTAATCCCAGCAGCTCAGAAGGCTGAGGCAGGAGGATCACAAGTTCAAAGCCAACATTAGCAAAAGCAAGGTGCTAAGCAACTCAGTGAGACCCTGTCTCTAAATAAAATACAAAATAGGACTGAGGATGTGGCTCAGTGGTCAAGTGCCCCTGAGTTCAATCCCTGGTACCAAAAAAAAAAACAGAAAAGAGCTGAGGATGCAGCTCAATGGCTCAATGGTAAAGCACCCCTGATTCAACCCCAGGTACCAACAACAACAAAAAATGTATGTGTGCATATAATATAAAGATTACATACATGCACACATGCCTGTGAAACATGCTGTAAAATGTTAACATTGGGGAAATCTAAGTGATAGGTCTTCAGCTATTCATTTTCTTTCTCTTTCAATATCTCTGTAGGATTGAAATTTTTCAGAATAAGAAGTATAAGGAGGAGCTGGGGATGTGGCTCAAGCGGTAGTACGCTTACCTGACATGCATGGGCCGCTGGGTTTGATACTCAGCACCAAGTAAAAAATAAAATAAAAATGTGTATCCACCGAAAACTATAAATAAATAAATAAATAAGAAGTATAAGGAGCAAAGGAGCTAAAAGTAAAAATGGGATTTGGCTTGAATGAAGAGGCCAGGCTCCCAGCCACAGAGCCACTGTGTAGCAGAGATGGAAGAGATAGCTCCCCTTGTATCTTAGACACAGCCCTGAGTCAAGCACTGGTGAAGCAAGTGACAGGGTCTTTTGATAATAATAAAGAAAAAAACTAAAAATAACTTGTATTTTGGGGCTGGTTTGTAGCTCAGTGGTAGGGAGCTTGCCTAGTATGTGTGAGGCACTGGGTTTTATCCTCAGCACCGCATAAAAAAATAAAGGTAATGTATTCCTCTACAACTAAAATAGAAATCTTTAAATAATAATAATAATAATAATAACTTTTTAAAAAAATGCAATTGCAGGATTTTTTAAAACACCTACAGCCCTGCCAACAAGAAATAACTCATGTTGACCTCTTTTCTTTACTTCCATCTGACTTTAAATACAACTAACTTGGCTGTTTCTTGGCCACCCTGGCCCATCCGAGGGTGGTGGGCCTGCTCTCTGACAGCCTCTCTTTCTGTTTCAGAGCCACAATGGCAGCTCTTATGGCTGGCCTCATCTCTTGGGCACATAAAAATTGTGTCATGATTTCATTCTGAATTGGTACCAATCCCCAAAAATTGTGTCATGATTTCATTCTGAATTGGTACCAGTCCCCAAAATGGGTAAATTATGGAGAAGGAGGGTGCTGCCCTGTCCCTGTAATATTTACAGCAGCCAGGTACAGATGTCCATGCTGTTCCTTAAGGTGTAGTTACCTAACCTATAATCCTACTATGAGTTTTTCCCATGCTATTCAGGGACATCATTTATCCTTTCCCTTTTTAAAACTAGCCTGTTTCTAATAATGAAAATCTTCCTTTCAGTCTGCTTTGTGAAAGGAGTGAGTTTGAGGCAAGGAGCCTATTCTGAGAGGCAGATTCATTCTTTTCCAGGATAATGTGCATGTGAAATGTGAGTCCCCACTATGTCACGGTCATGACAATCAGAAGCAGCACAGGCAGCAGGGTACTGCAGGCCTTCTTGTTGCTCTCAGAATCTCCTTATCCTATAGGCTACCAGACTCAAGCCACCTCCCTCCCTGGCTCCCTGATGGCCTTTTAACTACTTAATACAACTGATAAGAAGACCAGAGGAGCAAATGTAACTGACCCCAGTACTTGAGCAGCTCCACTCAATGTTTAATGGAGTAAAAAGAAGTCAGTGGGTTGGGGATGAGGCTCAAGCCGTAGCGCGCTCGCCTGGCATGCGTGCGGCCCGGGTTCGATCCTCAGCACCACATACCAACAAAGATGTTGTGTCTGCCGAGAACTAAAAAATAATAAATATTAAAAAAAAAAAAAAAAAAAGAAGTCAGTTAACATTGCTATCTGAAATACTTTGGGCAAATAGCAGTGATTTATGCTATTTCAGTTCCCCCACCAGGTATAATCAAGAAGTAGCCTGTATCCCTGTGTCCCGTGGATTAGAAACATGCCAGGAGAGAGCTTTTGGGGAGAGGGTATGAGGTTTAGTACCTCGTTTCCCTCTTATCTGTATCTGACATCAGGAATCTCCTCCATCCACTCCCATACATGAGCAGCAGGAAGGGTTCTAAATTTCCAAAAGTAAAGGAATGGGTTACTAACGGAGAAAGGGATACTGAGAAAAGAGAAGATTTAGGGGAATGATAAAGAAGCTGTTTCTACTCAGGAGAAAAGTAAACCCCAGTCTTACTCAAAACCAGTGTTCACTAAGATGCAGCTGTACATGCAGTTTGTTCATGCAGGTTTCTCCTTGCACAGTCCTGTGTGACATTGTGGAAAATAATCATGTTTAAGTCCTGTATGTTTGTTTTAAATTTCTAATTTTTCTCCATTTCTGTGTTTCATTTTAATTTTTTAAATCATCATTGTCATTACTGTTCTGTTTTGTTTTCCGTTGCCATCCCCTTAAAAGTTGATTTATGTACCACACGCCTTGGCATTCAGGAGATCCTATTCATCAAAGGTAGTATCTCATTCCTGATGGCTGGTCGTCATTGCATGCCTGTCTGTGATTAACCACCCAGAGCAACCTGAGCCCAGGACCTGTGGCCACATCCTCACTAACTGTGTTCATACATGCATGTAGCTGTAGCCACTAGACCTCCTCTAGCTATGTCATGAGGAAGAAGGAGGATGAGACACACCCGCTCTTCACTGGCTGGAGTGCATGTGGTAATGCTCCAGGTGCCTGGGAGGGAGGCAGAGCTGCCCCTGTGGGTCTGGGCACCACAATAAGAGGGGTTGTTCGTCTCAGCTCTGTGGACTGAGACCTCAGCTTCCCAGGGCACTAGAATGCCACAGCTGTCCTTAAGGACTGCCTGTTGCCTCTTCACTTGACACTCCACTGTCTTTAAAACTCTTAGACAAAAGACAAAACGCCTGGACTTTGAGTTGAATTTGGAAGCCTTCTTTAAAATCTGTAAAATCTCCTAATTTGGTTTCTTTTTTGTTTTGGTTTGGTTTTGGGGTATTTTGTTTGTTTTTTTAAGAAACAATACAGATGGCCTTGTGAATGAAGGCAAATCTACAACATGTACCTCTCAGGGGTTGCCCAGTGTCTATGCAAAGCATGGGATTCTCCCCATAGCCTTCAACCTGCATTAAATTTGCCCAGTCACCTCCTCCATTCTTGATGGCACTAGCCACAACCACCTGGCCAGGCCACTTCCTCCCTTCCCTTTTGTGGCAACTGTTGCCTATGCAATCCCCAGAGGCCATCAAGGGTCACCTCCACAGTTCCTTCTTCAGCCCATATTGGTTTGGGGTTTCCCCAAATTTAAAATAGAAGCATTCCTGTTTTTTCTAGTTCAGATGTTCTTAAAGGAACCTCATGAATACCACTCATCTGAAGAAAGTGGCTTTTGATTCCAAGCAAGAAAATAAAAGGATTCTGATTTATCCTTTTTTTTTTTCCTTCCCCATATATTCAGAAGCATGAGGCTTGGGAAACATTTTACTTACATTTTTTACCCCCACAAGGTCTTTAAAAAGCGCAGAATTCCTTAAATAGGAAACAAACAAAGTGATCTCAATGATAAAGGAGGCTCCTAATACTCTAACTTCCCAATACTCATTCCCCACATAGCCTCCTTTCCTGGTCACAGAAGGGAAATGTCTCACCTTGGGGGTATCTAGATGTGTCCTGTGGCATTTGGAGCTCCAACAGGGAAAGGTGCCAGGGAAGTCTCTGGTCAAGCTGCAGTGGGGGAGCTTCACACTGGTGTATGCCAGCCACCAGCTCCCACTTAGGAGTCAGTCTATTCCATGCCCCTGCCAGGCTGCTGCACAAACTGATCTCAGACCTGACTGAGAAGATCTTTTTCATTCCCACTAGCCAAGAACCTACACAGAAGAAGAGCTGAATACCAAGCTGACCCGGCGTGTGCAGAAGGCAGCTCGGAGACAGGCCAAGCAAGAGGAGCTCAAACGGCTCCACCGAGCCCAGGTACAACCACAGACAGTGAGACAGACAAAACACACAGGTGGAAAGCCATGTGACCACATTTTGTGTACACCCAGTTGACCCCTATCTACAAGGAAGGAGGGTGAAGAAGGCAGAGTTGAAGCAGATGAGTTGTCCCTGTCATCTGAGATGACAGCCCCAAAGTACAGCTCAGTGCAGATATAGTGGCCCCATCCTTGCAAAGTCATCAGTAAAAAGGGAAGAACCACATTTGAGTTTCCTAAATTCTGTGGTCTAGAATAGTCATTTTAGAGTCAATTAGTTCTCTTACTTGTAAGCAATAGTGTCAGAAGTCAGTTTGTGGGTGGGTACAGTGTCATACACCTATAATTCCAGCAACTCAGGAGGTTGAAGCAAGAGGATCGCAAGTTCGAGGTCAGCCTGGGCAACTTAGAGAGACCCTGTCTCAAAATAGAAATTTAAAAGGGCTAGGGATATAGCTCAGTGGTAAAGCACCCCTGAACCCAATACCTAGTATAAAGGGGGAAAAAATCAGTTTGTGACCTACCATGGACTTTGGACTTTGTGGGAGAGGTTAGAGTTATCCTGTAGGTATCAGCCTCTGTCTTAAGGCCTCATATCCTAGACCATTCTATACTTTTTTTTTTTTAACTTGTAGAGACAAGATTTTTAATCCAGTTTAGCAGTCTTGTTATCAGAAAGATCTGAGGTAGCCAGGCAAGTAGCATCACCTGTAGTCCCAAGAACTTGGGAGACTGAGGCAGGAGGATCATGAGTTCAAGGCCAACCTCACCAACTTAAAAAAATTAAAAGGACTGGAGTATAATTCAATGGTAAAACATCCCTGGGTTCAATCACCAGTGTCAAAAAAAGAAAGAAATTCTGAGGTGCCGGATGTGGTGGCCCATATTTGTTATCCTAACAGCTCAGGAGGCTGAGATAGGAGGATTATGTGTTCAAATCCAGCCTCAGCAAAAGCAAGGCGCTAAGTAACTCAGTGAGAACGTGTCTCTAAATAAAATACAAAATAGAGCTGCAATGTGGCTCAGTGGTCAAGTGCCCTTGAGTTCAGTCCCCAGTATCCTGCCCAAAAAAAGAAAGAAATTGTGAGGTAATAGTATTAAAGGCTTCCTGCAGGAATTTCTTTTCCTCCTGCCCTTTAACTGCCCTAGAGAGGGCTGACATCTGTTTCAGCTGCTTCCATATTCCAGAGTCTGCTAAGTAACAAGGCCCTGGGGGATTCAGATCCAAGTGGGATGCAGCCCATGAATTAGAGCTCTTTCCACCGTCTCGACGTAACTTCTCTGTCTCCCTCCTTGAGTTTGCCAAGTTTAGTTTTCCTCCTGAAAACTAGAAAGCTGAGTGCTCATACTGCTGTCTTTTGATAGATCATCCAACGGCAGCTGGAGCAGGTGGAAGAAAAGCAGAGGCAGCTGGAAGAGAGAGGGGTTGCAGTGGAGAAGGCACTCCGAGGTGAAGCAGGTACAGTCTGGGTCCTTGTGAGGAAGTTTATTCTGAAGGAGACCCCAAATTCCCCACTGGGGAAGCCAGTTTTGCATCACGTGAAATTCAGTCCTCCTTCAGTGGGGTTTTCTGGGTCCCTGCATCACATCTGGGGCTTTCCATTAAGCAAAAGAAAAATGCATTGGGGCAGCCCTGAGGCCCAATCCTGCTCTATAGCCCATCTTACAGCTTGCCATTTCCCAACAGAACAAAATCTTAGGCCCCCATCATCTGTTGATGGCAAACTCTGGGTTTGTTCCTCTTCCTTCTCCTCCTTTCGCACTCCATCATTTTTCCTGGGGGGAAAAATGCCTGTGAATGAGGGAGATTGTATCACAAGGAACCATCACAGAACTGCACTAAGCAGAACCCCAGCTGTTCCCCTACATGCTCCTCCTGTCCTTAGTGTTCTGGGCCCCTCCTACCCAAGCTTTAGAGCCCTTATCATCTCCTTTGGGTGGAGCTTACAGGTACTCTTGATACTCTTGTGTTTCCCAGGCTCAGCCCAGGCTTGATGTTCACTAAAGGAGAGACAGCGGGTGGGGACATGATGTGCTGGCACAGGGTAGACACCAGGAGCAGCTGTGAGAGCCTGTGGTTTATGACTACCACTCTAAAAGGAAATGCTGAAGAATGTAATGCAGTCCTTTCTACTGCTCCCAGGAGTCTATTCTATGCATTTAGGCACAGAGAAGGCAAGGGAGTACCAAAGTCATCTCTGGACCAAAGCCTAGGAAACTCTGCTAGTTCAAGACCTTGCATCCATTGGGCCAGCCTCAGCCTCAGGCATGGAGTGACTGATCTCTGCTTTCTCAGGCATCCAGAGTCTCATCCAGTCCCTGGATGAGGAACCTCCATCTCTTTACAAAAGAAAACGAAGGCCTCCAGGCTCAGCACGCAGTTTGTGAGGCTGAGATAAAGAAAGGCAGTGGCTTCTTACCACCTCCTTATTCTAGAGTGGCAAAGGGGAACAGGGTGGTACATCTCCTGGCAGGTAAACTGTGTGTGGAACTGAAGAAGAACTGGTAAGGGGCAGCCATGTGACCAATGAGCTGGCCTTATGGTATGTGCCTGGTATCAAGATGGATTTTTTAGGATTGAAGTTCATGTGTTGGGGAATGGAGATGAAGCATAGAAGCAGGTCCCCCTTGTCAAGCCCTTTAAGGCCCAGAAATTGAAGTTCATCAGTAGGTCAGTGATGACCTTCAGGTGAAAAGGGCTGGTAGAGAAAGATGAGGATGTGAATATTCTTGGTTTTTGTGCCTCACCTAATGCTGGACTTAACCCTTGAAGTCTGGGTCACCAAAGGAAATGCAAAAACTTGAACCACTTAGTATCCAGAAAACTAGAAGACTGGGATGCTACCACCTGGCAAGCACTGGCTCCAATGCCAAGAAATGGAGATCCAGGTTCACTTAGAAGGGTCCTCAGCCTTCCCAATAAACCATGATGTCCCCCACCAGTCTGCGGGACTCCTTTCCCTGCCCTTCACACTCTTTTGGCTTCCTATTCAAACTGTCCCCAGAGGGAGTTAGCCCTCCAGAGGTGTCCTGTGCCAACTAAAGTAGACTCACAGGGCCCTACCCTCCTTGCTTACCTCTTGCAGAAGATACCAAGAGGGACCCTGAACCCATCATTGCTTTTTATTTCATAGATCACTTCTGCCAAGATGGAAATTAATAAGTAGATCTTACAACACATAGCGAGAATAACTCTACAGGTGTATGCACATACATTCAGGGTAAGAGTTCCCCAGGAAAAAGGGGACTGTACCCCTCCTTACAAGATTCTGAGTTTTAGGGAAGAGGGTTGCCATCTGGGTTGATGGTTTCTATAAAGAACTTAAATCTTTGTCAGCTGCATGCAGTTGGAGTCTACAGCAATACTTCAGTACTTCTGTAACAATCATATTATTCCAGCTGCTGAATAAGGACCAGAAAATAACACCATTAAAAATTGACAGAGGAGGACTGGGGTGTGACCCAATGGTAGAGTTTACCTAGATAATGCAGGACCCTGCATTCCATCCCAATACACACACACACACACACACACACACACACACACACACACACCAAATTGGCAGAGGATTTTACCAAAATTATTCTTATCAATTGTTTAGATAAATTACATTTTCATGACCATGTACAACTGAATATCATATAAGTTAGTGCTTTTCAAACTTGCTTTTAGCAGAAGAGCCCTTTTACAACATTATAAATTCAAGTTAAAATAAAAAATAATTGCCCTAAAAAGTTAAAACATATATACAAAAACTTGACAACACAGGATATGGTGAAGAGCTGCACCATCATCCAGTTCATTTGTGGGAACAAAGGTGAGAACAGCCTGATATACACCAGTAGTTGCTGTAAATAGCAACAGTGTGTTTTTAATGACTTCCCTGGAACTCTCAGGGTATTTTCAATTTAAAGATGTAGTTACTAGAATTTTTAAAACAGAACAGTAGCATTTTTCCAAGTTGAATCACTAACAAATCTAACAACTCATATTCCTAATAAAGAACCAACCAAAGATGCTCCTAGAATAAGCAAGAAACCCAGATTCACTATGATATCATGACATAATATATCATCCACCCTTAGTGCCATGCTGATAAGTGCATGCTCTGAGAGGCTGGCATCACTATACTTGCAGGCCAGGATTTAAATGAATTACATAGTTTCTTTTTTACCAACACATTCACAATGAATGCAGATACTTGCACACAGGAAGCAGAAGAAACTTGGTCCTGAGGGCCCCACAAAAGCAAGTTCACCTGGCTGCACAAATTAATTCGTTCAATGGGTTAAAAGTTAGCATATTAAGCATTGAGTATGGTATGCCTTTTCAACATTTTTTAAAGAGTTAAAAGCATTTGAGGTTCTTGGAAGATCCCTAGAACATTGTGAAGAACCCTAGGGTTCCACAGAAGTTTGAAAATCATTGTTCTAATCCAACTTCTTCCTGTAGATGAGACTTTGCCAAAATATCCTTAACCAAAATGAAGTCTGTGCTTTCTCTAAAGATGCACCTCAGTAACTCTGTTGAGATATTTCCCCATGATGCATTTAGTGTTGTAGGAACAGACGAGGCAAGGCACTAAAGATAGCAGGAAACAGTTTTATTTGGCTGTAGACAGGTTCAGAGGGCAAAGCTTTTGCTGTAATCAATCAATCTCCTGAACCCCAAATTCAGGTAGTTTCAGAGTTTATGCCCAGCATGTAAGGGAAGGAGCTCAGAAGTTCACAGTCTGCAGAAGTTCACATAAAAGCAGCTTTTTCTTTCACTATTTTGGGCAAGTTAACCCTTCAAGGACAACACCTGAGAAGGAGAGAGCTTCTTGTCCCCTTTCTTTCCTCCCCCTGCTAGCTGTTACCATGGAGCCCAGTTGGTAACTTATCTTAAAAATGTAGACATTTCTGTGGAGCGCAGCTCAAGGCCAGAGGATTTGATTGCACATTTCCACAAGCTACTATACTGGATATATTTGTGAAAAACTAATGAGGGGGTGTCCAGCAACTGGAGTGCTGGTGTCTTCCCAGCCAGTGGCCAAGTAAAACAGGGCAACACAAAAATAGGAAGTGTATCTACATTGAACTCTTTTGCAGAGACTCTTTTCTGCTTGTGCATTGCATCCTTGTTAGTCTCACTGCACCTAGTTGAACCTTGAAGAAATATCCTCAGCTGAGTCCAAAACCTGGAATTTTCCAACATGCTGGTCAGCCCCATCCCTAAGGGCTATACTACCAAGCCAGCAAAATCTGCTATTCTGTCTCACTTGATAGTCTCAAGCTTCCATTGTGTCTGAAGGGGTCAGACTTTGTTAGCCAACCTGACCTTCCAGAGAAGAGATCTGATACAGATTTGCTACCCAGTTAATCTCTATTTGTCAAAGGCTTCTATATATTCAGAGCTCAAGAATTAGTTTCAGAGCTTTCAAGCCTAGGACAAGACCAAGACTTTTATGTAATTTCTGGTCCTGGGACATCCAGGTCACTTTTTTGTTTCTGGAACACTGATTCAAACTTAAAACCACTGGATTAACCTTGAGCCTGAGCTGGGAAGACTTTGCAGGATTGCATTCAGTTTTCAGATGTATGTCCATTCTTGAAGAGGAAACCCCATGTGGAAAAAAAGGCTGCCAAGATCAGCTTTTAGAATGTGAGGTTTAGAGAAAGGGTGACACAATAGCAACTGAGTTTTGTTGTGCTCTGTACCTCTTTACAGTTCTGGAGAGATGAGAATCACCTACTCAAACCCAGTGCTCAGCTCCAGACTTTACATCTCAGGCCTTGCTAGGCTACCACAGGAGCTAAAAGTGCTGGCTAAGAGTGCTGGTGGCCAACAGACCTCCAAGAGCCTCAGGGCAAATAGTTGCAGATTCAGAAATCTGCATAAGACTCAGCTCATTTCCAGAAGGCTGACTAAAGTTTTAAGACTATACCTCAGAAGAGACAGGACCTCCATCTTAAACTCCTCCAGCAGCGTGATTTTGCAAGGAGTGTGCAACAGTCACTAATGGGGCCATACACAGGAGTTCTTGGAAATGCTGCCAACTGTGTTTAAACCCAAGGGTTGGGACTCTTCCAAGGCTTGTTTAGGGTGTTCACATCTTGGGGCCTCAGCCTGGGGTTTTTAATGTTCAGAAATAAGTAGGAAGTAATAGCCCCTGATCCACTCTTGAACTTCTTAAATTTTCTTTGATAAGACTGAGTTCCTATAGGGTCAGATTTCCCAACAAAGCCAAAGCCTTTTGTCCTTACTGAGCCAACATATGAAAAAGGATCACACTGGTAGTGACTGTTGACCCTGCCCCCACTGATTTTAGTTAATCCCCTTCACACCACGAGGTACACAGAGATGGCCTGCATGTGTGCCTATAATGCACTTATAGACATGCATGCTTTCTATCTGTTCCTTTTTGCCCTCTTGCTATATATCTGCATGTTTCATATGCTTCATGTCATTGATGGCTTTGGGTGTGGGGGACAACAAGGTCATCTGGTCAAATAACTCTCTCTTCACCAATTCCTTGTTGTAGACTATTGGGGAGAGTCTTATTACAGTGACCTCATCGACTTGCATCTGGGTGGTATGTATAGCAGCAACTGTTGCTGGTACTAATCCCTCTGACACCCTTCCCCTTCGTTTCTCCCAGTCCTTCCTCACAAATATCGAGAAGAAACCAACCTGATAACCAAATGGCAAAAGCACAAACCCTTTTCCAGGCTCAGTGGTAGAAGACTTGCCTACATGTGCAAGACCCTGGGTTTCATCCCCAATACCACCAAAAAAAAAAAAAAAAAAGCAGCATGTCAGATCTCCACTGCCCATATATACTCCAGAGGACGATTTAAGATAGCTTTTGCTGCCCAGAATTTTTCTAATGTCTCATAATAAGACTTTATCTATCCCACCTCAACAACCTTGCAGTCCCTTTGCTAGTCCCCTTGTTTGGTTGTTTGATAGCAGGTACACACACACTCAAATCCAACACAAATTTTGTCCTGAATCTTATCTTTCATAACTTGTAGGTATCATATCTACTATGAAGCTCACTGCCAATCACACTTTAGAGGCAGATGTGGAGCTGGGGATATAGCTCAGTGGTAGTGCATTTGCCTAGCATGTTCAAGGCCCTAGATTCCATCCCCAGCACTGAAAAAAGAAAAAAAAAGATGACACAAACATGAAGAACTCAGCCTCAATCATTTTCATTAGGGTAGGCTCATGTATCCCTCAAAAGATCCCAGTGCATGCAAAAGGCTTCACTGTTGTGATTTTGATCCAAGTTCATCAGACTTGAGTTTATAAGTAGAGATGTCCATAATGATGGCCCTCCTCTTTGTCACATCCTGTGTCTTTATACTTTTTTAGATGAAGGCAGCAGAAGCCTCAGGCAGTAGTTCTCAAAGTGTAGTCTCTAGACCAGCAGCAGCATCACCTGGGGGCTTTTTAGACATGAAGATTCTCAGGCTCCATCATACACTTTCTGAATCTGAAACTCTGCAGATGAGGCTATGATATCTTGTGTTTTAGCAGACCTTGCAGCTGATTCATGTGGCTTCTAAAACCAGAGATCCCCTAGCTAAAAGGAATACAGTATATTTGCTGTTTTCTGTATAAGACTTATCTTTTTTTTTTTTTTTTTTTGGCTTAGAGAAATAACCAATCTATGAGTCTTGTTTCTAAACTTTGGGCATCTTTTCTCCTTGAAAGCTGCCATGTGGCAGGAATGTCAAGCAGGGGTTCAGGGTTTCTGCACCTGCTTAGTGTTCCCTGTCTTTTTTTTTTTTTCAGCAAATAGTAGCAATTTTATTTTTTTCATTCTAAAGCTTGCACACTTTCTTTTTCTTATGTTCCCTGTCTTCGATCAAGCAATCCAGTCTCTTGCTCTTTCCATAGAGATTCAGTGCTTCTAGCTTGGCCTGAGGGAAAAAAAAAAAAAGAGCTGGTGAAGATATTCTCTCATTTTTTATTCCAACGCCATCCTTTTAAGAGAATCATTTCTTCACTCATTCATTTTAAAACCAAAGCCAAGACTGAAGGTATGGCTCACTGATAGAGCATTTTTCTGGCATGTATAAGGTCCTGAGTTCCATTTTCAGCACTGCCAAGGGGTGGGATGGGGAGGATCAAGGCTGTAATTCTGATTCCTATTATAGGACAGTGCCATATCCTTAGAGTACCTCCACTCACCAGCAGCTGGGGCCCTTGGCTCCTTGGATAGGTGGGACTGTGGTCTCTGTTCTCTGTGTCCCTGATCCCTTGATCCCATGGATCCCACCCCTCTACAGGCTCCTGGAGCTTTTGGAGTATTGAGGGATCTCCACACTCATGGCCATTGATGCTGAAAAAGGGCTGATGCTTACACCCTACTTAACAGATCCCATTTATCCCATTCCCTGTCTAATGTCCCCAGTCCCCTTCCCACTCCTCCTAACACTTCCTGGGCAATGGTAATGTCAATTCTAAATAAATCTTAATGTGCAAGAAGACATTATTACATTTAGAACCTTGTAGAAGGAGCTCTCAAAGCCCACTTTTTTGAGCTCATGCTTGCCTGGCCTTCCCAGTTGGAGCCCTGCTGTTGCCTCACAGTGAGTCTCATATATGTTTCTTCTGTTTTCTCTCCCCGACTGTTCAACTGAGAAAATGCAGTAGGCCGTTTTTACAACAGCTCTTAGCTCTTTGGATCTAGAATGCCAACAAATTCCAGGGGGAAATGAAATATATGAAAGAAAAAAAACTTAGTGTTTCTTCCAAATTATAAAGTACCCTACCATCAGATACCTTATGACCCCTGCTACTTGGTTATCATCACTTCCCCTTTTGTCAGTGCACTCTCACTTGTATGTAATATTCAGACTCTTCCTGTGAGCTCTGCTGCTACTGCCTACTAATGAAGTATGGAAGAAACATTCCTTTGTGAAGGGAGTCACTCTGCACACCAGGCACAGGGTAAAGATCACCAGGCTCTGCCCTCACCAAACCCCAGGAGGAAGCTTACATACCACTGTTCAGTTTCTGCTGATGTTTACTTCTCGGGGCAGTTGGTAATATTCATTAATCAAGTGGGGAAAAGATACCCTTTGAACCAGGCATAGTGGAGTACATCTGTAAATCCCAGCAACTCAGTAAGCCAAGGTAAGAGGATTGCAAGTCAGAAGCCAGCCTTGGCAACTTAGCAAGACCCTGTCTCAAAATTAAAAATAAAAAGGGCTAGGGATGCTGCTAGTGATAGAGCACCCCTGGATTCAATCCCTAGTACTGGGCGGGCAGGGGAGAGGACCTTTTAGAATCTGGAGCTTGAAGTGTAGTTAGAATCAGATTGCTGTTCTACCCTTTCCTCCCCAAAAGGCCTTATATCAACCTCATTTCTGGATCATAGCAGCGATCTTGTTTCTCATGTGGGTGACACAGAGCTCTAAGTAACACTCAGATTATTAGGAATTTCATATCCTGCTCAGAAGAGTTCAGACCCCTAGTGTTCTGTCTGTCCCACCATGGTGCCTCAGTGGGGTCTTTAGGCTTTCAGCTAACTATTTAAAGGCTCATTTTGAGGTGGGTTCATAGCTCAATGGCAGCATATGGAAGACCCTAAGTTCAATCCCCAACACCCAAAAGTAGTCTCCTTTTAAGCCATAGAGTATAGAGAATAAAGATTTCACTTCCTTAAATAGCTGGATCTTGTGATTTGAAAAGAAAAGAAACCATTTTACAGAGACATAATGACCCTTGGTCCAGAAAAGAAGGGTTTGCAGTGGCCATTGTCTTTCCTTCCTCTTCTGGGAGAACACAGAACAGGTGGAGCACAATCCACCATGCTTTGTTGCACTATATCAGATAAATAAAAGAAAAACTATATTTTTTTCTGAAAAAAAAAATATAAAGAAAAACTATATTTCTTCTGAAATTTTTAGATTAAAAAGACCCACACCTGATTTTACAGGACCTTTCCTCTTGATTTATAAGTATCATAGGGAAATGGAAGGTTTAGAAATATAACATGAATTCCTGGAAAGTGATCTTTCATTCTTGCCAGGAAGTTGGGGTGGGAGGCACAGGGAGGCCTACCCCAGGCCTTGCCCCTTCCCACCTTCTGAGTGACTGTCTCCTATTTGCTTCTCTTAATTTGATGTTAGTAGATTTTTGAATCTCTGCTCATGCTGAGCATTAGCCTGGCTAGTTTTGCTTAGGAACTTTGAAATTACCAACATTTTCCAACATTCATATGTCTGTATGTATTGGATCTCAGTTCTTAAATGAACCTTTTTGTTTTTTACTTTCTCTCCACCCACCCCACCCCACCCCACCCCACACACTCAGAGTCTAGAAATTCATTCTGCACTGAGCTTTTTTGAAGCACAAGCATCTCCCCAGCCCTGTCATATGTATGTAGGCTAGACCTGCTAGCCTTCTCACCATTCCACAGCCCTGATAAGGCCTCAGTGTTTGTTATTGCCCACAAAGGCTGCTGCGTGCTAGGGCATGCCGTTGGCTGGGCAAATGGGTTTTTGGGTTGGAGAGTGAGAATAGTTGAATATAGTCTTAGTCAAGAAAGCTTTTGCCAATTATGTAACTTCAGGGCTGGGATATAGCTCAGTGGCAAGGCGTCTGCCTTGCATTCGCAAAGCCCTGGGCTCAACCCCCAGTTCCAAAAAAAGACAAAAAAGAGAACCCCACCAAAAACAAATAATATTAAAAAAAAAAAAACCCAGATTATGTAACTTGAACAAGACAGAATAGAGGCAGCCACAGTGACACATGCTATAATCCCAGCTCCTTGGGAGGCTGAAGCAGGAAGATCACAAATTCAAGGGCAGTCTGGGTAACTTAGTAAGACTGTGTCTCTAAATAAAAAATATGAAGGGCTAAGGATGTAGCTCAGTGGTAGAACATCTCTCAGTTCAATCCCTAATACTGCAAAAAAAAAAAAAATCAGTTATAGCCCCATTTCTTTTTTCTTACATGAGAATCACAAAGAAATTCTCCTGAGTTGAGTGTGTGATTCTGGCAAAATGCTTGCCCAGCATGTTCAAGGCCCTGGTTTCTATCCTTAGCACCACAAGAAAAAAGGAAAAGAAATTCTTACAACTCTGGACATGTTGTTCTCTGGGTGACTGAGCATGGTAGTGACTGGGGAAAACCCCTGGGGTCTCTGAGGAAAAGGTGAACAAAAACCTCTGTAGCATCACTGATTTGGATTAAAAGGCATTGGATTCCTTAGCAGTAAACATGGTGCCTTTCTGCAAAACAAAGAAGAAATGCAAGTCCCCTCAGGCAAGATGAGGGATACACAGTCTGAGTAGAGATCATGGGGTAGGAAAATAGAACCTCAAAATGCAATTAAGAAATAAGCATGCCTATTGCCTGTCCCTGACACCTTGGAGGAAGTTGTTCAGAGACCTTAAGGAAGTCAAAACCAAAAAGATGATGTTTTAGGTAGCTCAGTGGTAGGATTCTCTACCACTGAGCTACCTAAAGTGTAGCTGAAAAGGGAGTAATCTAGCTCAAGTTCTAGTGTAACAAAAAGGAAGATGTTATGAGCCAACTTCCAACTTATAAAAGGATGATATTCTATAATGTTTACAATCTTATTATCTAGAATTATTTATTCCCATAGAAGTATAGTTAGAAATGGTGACTCAGCTCATAAAAAGCCTATTTTCCTTATAATGTCTCTGTGAACAGAGACTCCAGTACCTAGCCAGTGAGTTCTGAGGAAATGCAACACTCCAGGCTGGGACTTCTCTGGTCTAGATGCCCCATTAATAAGCCCTCCCAGGGTCTGTCAGGTACTGGCTTAAGAGACCTTTCCAGCTTTAAGCATGTGGTGATGGCTCCTTTGTCTCACAGGGAGGATCTAGGGGCCTAGAGGATGGCAGAGATGGATTCTAAGATGAGGCAGATCCCAGGGCTAGTTCTCAGCTGCAGGCCAGCTCCCTGGTCATCTGCTTCCTCTTTGTCCTCCTTGAGACTGACCACCCAACTTGCCTTCCTGCTGCAACTACCCTCATCTTACAACAGAATATTGTTCCTGATTTGGGGATTGAACAGAGGGGCACTTAACCACTGAGACACATCCCTAGCCCATTTTTATATTTTTATTTAGAGACAGGATCTCCCTGAGTTGCTTAAGGCCTCACTAAGTTCTTGAGGCTGGCTTTGAACTCATGTTTCTCCTCCCTTAACCTACCAAGGCACTGGGATTGCAAGTGTATGCCGCTGTGCCCGGCTTTGGCTCTTACAGAAAATGGGGTTAGCTGGGCGCAATGGCTCAAGTCTCATCAGTTTAGAAGACTGAAACAGGAGGATCGCAAGTTCAAAGCCAGCCTCAGCAACTTAGTGAGACTCTAAACAACTCAGTGAGACCCTGTCTCTAAGTAAAATACAAAATAAGGCTGGGGGTGTGGCTCAGTGATTGAGTGCCCCTGAATACAATCCCTTGTACTGCCCCGCCCCCCCAAAAAAAAGAAAGAAAATAGAGTTAATGGATGGCCTCATAGTACCTGGTTAATTAGAGGTACTCAGCAAACATATTTTATGAAGTAATTAGTCTCTCACCTTGTCTTAAAATAAGCCCATGATCTTTTTAAGGTATTTCTAGTTATTTCTGATATTAGCACCAGTATAGAAGCCAGTGGGCTAAATAAAACCAGGCAAAATCAAATGACTGAACCGGGAGTACAAAGCCTTAGGTCAGCTCCTATCACAGCACAGTTATCTCTAGGCTTTCTGGGCTGTGAGTAAAGTTAGGCCTTGCTCTTGGCCCCACCAGACTTCATTATCATATCCTTACTTCCTAAAAGAAAGGCACCAAACCTTTTTCTACCTCTCAGCCTCAGGGTTAGGGCCTTTTGGATTTTGAGTACTAAAAATGTAAAGTGGGGTTTGTCTTCATTTCAGATGAGCAGCCATGCTCCATATCTTGAGAACTGGTTTGTTTGCTTAATTTTTCTAGCTACCAAAACATTTTATTCTATTAACTCGTAGGATGGGGGGAGGCGATACAGCATGTTGAGATAAAGTATCTTAGGGACCTTTATGAGGAAGTAGGATGAAGATAGAAATATAGAAAAAACAAACCAGGCATAGTGGCATACACTGTAATCCTAATGATTCAGGAGACTAAGGCAGGAGGATCACAAGTTTGAGGCCAGTCTGGTAAAATTAGCAAGACCCTGTCTCAAAATAAAAAGGGCTAGTGATGTAGCTCAGATAGAGTAGTAGAGGTAGAGTGCTTGCATAGCATATGCTTGGCTCTGGATTGCATCCCCAGCACAGGGCCAGGGGTGGGGGTGGTCTTCTATTTAGGGTGATGCCTTTGCTCTTAGAATCAATGAACCAGGTCATCTGTTTCTCACATCTCCCTAAAAGGCAAAGAAACTTCTATCAGTTGGTGCCCCTGTGCCTCGTTTGAGTGTCCTTTCAGATTCTCTTGTGGTGTGGAACTCCCCATTCAATTGGGTTTTCCCTTCTATTTCTTCCTAAAATAATATCCACTGGGTGTCCTTTCTGATTATAAAAGCAGTACAAATTCATTGTGGACACTAAAGAAAAAAGTACCAGCCCTGAAGCACCAGTCTACTCACCTCCTCCTTGAGGGATAAGATGGACCAGCCCTTCTAGTCTTCTATACCCTTCCTTCTGCTTTTTGTTATCACAGTGCCTTCCCCTTTGCTTTTCTTTTTTTAAACACAGGCTTTACCTGATGCCCCCTTTTTCTAATTTTGTTCCTAATTTCTGTTTTCAATATCTTGTTATCTCAAATTGTATACTATATCAGAAAGGGTATAAGAGGAATGTGATCTATATAAAAGGAGATAAAGGCTATATTTTGTGATGTCCAAAAAGTAGAAATGCACTCATACATGCATATGCTTGTTCCTACTTGATTTTGGATGTGTATTGATTGTATATTGTGTCACTGTCCCTTGCTAATCAATATGGATGCTATTCTACTGCACAACACACAGCCTTTTCACATATAACGTTGGTTCTAGGAAGCAACAGAAGTGGTTTATTGACATTTTATTTAAGGGATTTATCCAGGTATTCTGAACCTCAACACAGTCTCTACACTTTGAAACCAAGAAATTTGAATATAAGTCTGCTCTAAGGCAAAGTTTTTTAAGAACGAAATCCTCCTCCCATGTGACCAGGCATCAGCTGGTCATGGTCTGATCTATTGAGAACACTGAATGTAATCAGCATTTCACACACCTGCTTTCTGTATTAAAACTTTCGTATTAAAGTTGTACCCGGTATCAAATTGACTGTACAAAGCACTGTGCAGAATGGCGAAGGTCTGAGAAGAAAAAAAAAAGTGATCCCTGCATTTATTCCATTGCAAAGTAGAATGGTTTGTCTGTTTGGCCCTCCTGTTGACCTAAACTCCCTTCTCATTATAAGCCACCCATGCAGCCCTTCCCCTTCGATCCCCACCAAAGCCTGTCCTTGGACTTCACTGTCCCCTGTGTGTGCTGCTGTGGTTCTGTGATGGTCCCTTGCTCAGCTCCTCTCCCTCTTCCTTGAGTGACCATCAGGTCTCCCCTACAACTGGTCTGGAGATGTCTCTCTGCACACTGTCTCCTCTCAGTTGCCCCACTCTTACCAACATCATTAGTGTGAGTTGTTGGCCTGTCCTGTCAGCACACCCCTCTTGATCCTAAATGCAACAGCATCCCCCAACTGTGACACTGAACCCCTCCAAGAAATGGAAAGGCCAGAAGAAAAGGTGGGGTGGCTTGCTCTCCCTGGCATGTGGAAGGGATAGTGAGACAAACCAATGGAAGTCACTTCTGTGTGTCCACATTTTCCCAAAATTGTCCTGGCGCAGAATTTGAACGCTGCAGGTGCCAGAGCTCTGCAGGCCCACCAACAGTTAGAGTGCTGCCTCCATAGACTCAGGTCCTTTCTATAGACACAGCACCAGAAGGTAACAGACCCCTCATTGCCCCTTAAGACTTATCTAAGGTTAATTTAATTTTGAGCACATCTTAGAATATTTCACTTAGGTTTGGTTGGCACCACTTTCCTACCTAGAAACAATATTACCCCCATATTCAAGACAGTGTTTTACAGAGGTAGACAGACATACCCAGGGGCTTTGGGCATTTTTGAGGAGGGAGCTCAACTCCCAAGACCATGAAGGCTACCTAAATTTCACATGCTACCAGTAAGGAATAGAAGAGGAAGGCACAGCCCACTTGGTTGTGAGCTGCTGCTGCATGAAAGGAGTAGTTGCATCTTTAGGAGGACCCCACCATCCGTCCCTCAAGTCACACCCATATCAGTGACTGCTCCTGATGCCTGAGCCCGCTCTTGTTCAGTTTCTGTGCTGAAAAAAGGACTTAATTCATTTGTAGACTTTGTTTCCCCTGTTTCTGCTTCTCCATTTCTTGTATTTTTTCTTTTCCTCCTGTTGTTCCTTTCTCACTTTTTATGCTTTTTGTCCTCTGCTTGTTTTTTATTTCACCCTCACCCTGTCCCTTTCCACTTCCAAATTCCTCCTCCTCTTTTCCTCTTCCTTTTTTGTCTTTCTCCGTTTCCTCCTCCTCCTCTTCCTTGTTTGGTCCTTTTTGAAGTTGAGCCCAGTGGCGGGACTCCACGGCGTAGACCTCTCTCCTTCTGCCCTTGCTGTGTCCAGGAAGGTAACGTAACCTCACCCGCCTCATCCCACTGCCTCGGAGGGTCAAAGCCACATTAGTTCCACAGGGAGCCACAGCCCAACTATTTCTCTTTCTCTCTGATATGTGACAATCCTATTTTAGAATGTCATGAATATGTGGCAGTTTCTTACAAGGCACAGTATCCCTTTGACTATCTGAGGGGAGGACCCGGGTACAGAGGGAAGCTGGAGAGCCTCCAGGCCTGGCGACTGAAGTCTACAGACTTCCTACAGCCTGCAGACCTTCTGCAACATTTCCCCCCATCCCCCATAACCATTTGTACTTGGGCCTTTAAGCCTCAGGTCCACCAGATGGATTTGTATTGATGGAGTCAAGGAATACTGTCCTTACAAAGACTGATCTACACAAATGCCCCCAAGTTCTTTACCAAAACAAACACTAAAGCAAACTTCTCTACTTTGTGTCTTGCTGAGTGTGTTTTGTTTTGTTTTTTGGTGTTTATTTTTTGGTCTGACTGAAGTCTGTTGTGGTGATAAGATTGTCATTGACAAGGCATGTGGGCAGGGGAAGGGGGAGTATGGCCATGACTAACCCTTGCTAATCTCTTATTCTGCTCTCCATGGCTCTCACATGTGATCTTCACCCTCCCCACCACATCCCCTTACTCATCGGCTGTGAACAAACTCCACCATGGCTCATGAGCAGTGTTCAGATGTACCCTGGTGGAAATTTTGTCTTTATACATGGGAAGGTGGGAAGGAGGGAGAGACTTCCCGGTGTGCCCTCAGCTTGCCACACTGGACAAGCTTGCATGTCTCAGGGCTCCATCTTCATGGCCATGTGGGCACATTGTGCAGAGACGCTCCGGAAGGAATGCATGGAACTGAGCTGTAGGCTGGTTTAAAAGCCAAAGACCCAAGTCTATTGGATCGGGTGAGGAGAGCTCAGGCCCCCAGACACACGTGCGGCACTGCACAGTCACAGGCTCCACAGGCCAGGGATTGTGGAATGGGGAGCTTCCATCCTTGAGAGTAGAGCTCAGAGACAGCATGCCACCTCAGGACAAAGTTGTATGTTCACTGGGGCACAATGCAGACACTAACTCCTGCTTGTGTGAACGCAGTGCATCTCTGCCTCTCTAGAGTGGGGCCACTGGCTGACTGACTTAGGCCTTACGTGGGTCAAGAAGCAACATCACAAGAGCTTTGTCTTTGATTAGTGTGCAAGAATGCCAGATGGTAGAATACGGGCAAGAATGAGTAAGGAGCAAATCTGAGAGCCACCCACCTGAGGATGTACATAGTACATACTCCTGGGCTATAACAATAATCACTGTGCTGGGACATCCAACCAAGCAACTCAGAAAATAGAGAGTACTTTGAGAGATTTCCCAGTTCAGTGCCTCTTAACCTGAGACCTATAGATGTACTTCAGAAAGCCCCTGAGTACCCTGAAATTCTGTCTAAAATTGTTTGATGCTGTAATGGGAATGTAGTGTGCACTACTTAGTGGTAGAGCACTTCCCTAGCATGCTTAAGTTCCTGGGTTTCATCCCAAGTACCACAAAATAATAATAATAATGCATATATATATATATATATATATATATAAGCATTTTTCTAACAAAAGTCCTTAGCTTTCATGAGATGCTTTAAATGGTTTGTAACCCCAAAATATTAACGAGCCACTGACATAGTCTGTCTCTTAGGCAGGACCAAACTTTGGCCATGAGCAGATTTATGCTCCTAGGAAAGGAGTTTGTTTCCTCCTTGTATGGTGTGATTCCTTGGAAGGTTCTTCCTCTATCCTCCTGCTGCAGTTAAGCCCAGAGGGTTGTGTTGCTCCTTATGGAGACTAGTCCTGTGCTGGTTCAGGTTGGCCTGAGTCAGCAGTCAGGTACCAGGCCCAAAAACTGGTGGTGGGACTGGATCAGAACAGGGGGTGGCCACCTTCCTCAGTCTCTAGGGTGTGCGGGTGCTGGTGGTCTGCTGACAGCTATCCTGCATGCCCTGTGTCTACCACATAGTCCCTGCTAGAGTGTTTGTCAAGAAGTATGTCCAGCCACATGTTAAGAAACGGTTTCTTGCCAGGCATAATGGCACATGCCTATAATCCCAGCATCTGGGGAGGTTGAGGCAGGAGAATCACAAGTTCAAAGCCAGCCTCAGTGATTTAGTGAAGCCCTGAGCAACTTAGCAAGACCCCATCTCAAAATAAAAATGGCTGGGGATGTAGCTCAGTGATTAAACACCCCTGGTTCAATCCCTGTTACCAAAACAAAAAAGAAGAAGAAAGGGTGTCTTTCTGATTAGGATACAAAACGATTATGAGGCCTCAATATTAGTGGCCCCAGAGAAGAGCAGCAGCCTAGGAAAGAACTGGGTTAAATGAGGGTGAAAGAGTAAAGTGTAGTTTATAAATTTAAATTTGCCATTTTTTATTAGACTGGTTTTCTCCTCCAAGGAGACCCAGAACATAGCAAGTGCCAAATAAATATTAAATGAATTTAAAAATTAAGAAGGAAGAACAAAGCAATTTAAGACATACAAAAGAAAGCTTCTGAGCAGAAAAAGTATCAACAAGCCTATGAGGAAGGAACAGTCACAACCAGCCAAGATTACTGGCAGGGATGAGGGCAGGGCCTGGACTGAACAGAACAGACAAAAAGCATAGGCTCCATTAGGCCCTGGGGTCTGCACAATGCAGGGGCCTATCATTATCTGCCCCCCACCCCCCACCCCCAAGGCTGTAGGCAAACTTTGGACCTGGCTTGGGAGTGTTCCGGCAGCATCTTGCTCGGCTCTCTTTGCACATTTGCCCCAGTGTGATGATTCCTGTGGGCCAGGGGAAACCAAGATACCCTCCCTTGCTGCCTGACACACAGTCTTTTTTGGCAGGCATGGGCAAGAAGGATGACCCTAAGCTGATGCAAGAGTGGTTCAAACTGGTGCAAGAAAAAAATGCCATGGTGCGCTATGAGTCGGAGCTGATGATTTTGTGAGTAGCCTGAGATTTGGGGGCCTATCCATGAGGGAACATAGGCACTGGGTCTGTCATAAATACACCAATCCTAACTTGGTGGGGTGAGTAGTTGCCCCCCAAGTCATTGTCTCTGTCTCCTTCCCCGTCTTAGTGCCCGAGAGTTAGAGCTGGAAGATCGGCAGAGCCGACTACAGCAGGAACTGCGGGAGCGGATGGCAGTGGAAGGTAAGTGGGTGAGGGAAGGTGCACAGGGAAAGGCTGGTATGGGCTTCCACCTCCCAAGCCACACACCTTGTGACTTTGGCTACTCCTCAGATCACCTGAAGACCGAGGAGGAGTTGTCAGAGGAGAAGAAGATCCTGAACGAGATGTTGGAAGTTGTAGAGCAGAGAGACTCTCTAGTGGCCCTGCTGGAGGAGCAGCGGCTCCGGGAAAAAGAGGAGGACAAGGACCTGGAGGCGGCCATGCTGTCAAAGGGTTTCAGCCTGAACTGGTCCTGAGTTTGTGCCCATTACACTGCTTGGAATGTCAGCATCCACCTGGCTATGTTCTCCCAAACCACCTGGATCTAAGGTCCAAGGAAGCCTGGCACTTCCTGGGAGTTTGCATTCAGCCACCCACATGCTCATGTGCTATGGTGAAACCCCAGGTGATGATGATTATGAGATGACTCCGCCTCCTGAGAAGAGGCCCACCTGGACTTCCCACTCAAGAAAGAGGAGCAGAGCAAGAGATGTATGGTGCAGTGGGGGAACCCCGCACGGTCCCTGAGGACCTGTTGCCTGGTGCCCCTTCCTTCCGCCAGCATGTTTGATAAGAGAAGGGAGCTGCTCCTTCTCTTCAAAGACACCGCCACTACAGAGAGCACCCCGCAGAACAGGGAAGCTGCCTTCTTCATGCTCCCTGAAGCACCACCAAAGAAAGAAAAAAACACCCCACAAGCAAGATGTGGATAGAGTATGGGAGAGGGGCAGTGACCGGTCAGGGCAGTGACCACCCCAGCATTGCAGGGGAAGCTGAGGGATAGGCAGGCTCTGAGTTCATTATGCAAATTATGAGGATGCAAGAGGGGTCTGTCCCCAGCCCCCACACAACACACTGGACTCCTAGTGGCCAAATGCCCCAGGCCTCTCTCTGGCTGAGGCCCGAAGCCCATGGATTGCTGCATTTTGCTTTTAGTTCACAACCATTTTGACACTGGAAAGTACTAACTTTGGCGACAGGGGGACCCTACACATCAAGCCCCCCATTGACAGACAGGCATTGTCACAATTCAGCGCTTCACAGTGGGGCAAGAGATTCCCTTCTTCCTTGGTGTTTTTTCCTGTGTTTGCACATTGAAATGAAGCTGAGGACCTGGCAAGATGCTCAGCCACTTCTGATCTTTTTTGTCAATTAACTTATTTTTTTAATACTTGAAAAGAAGCAACTTCATTTTTATATCTTTACTAAAGACACTGATCACCTGGCACCTATGTGTAGGGGTAACAGAGGTCTGCTAAGTCCTACACAGCCTGATTCAAAACTGAACGCTTGTTATATGCATCTATTTATTAGCCTTCTTCGTAGTGTTACTGATCTGGTTGGCATCAGGGAGCAGCTTGAGACCCTCTGGGTCCTTGCTCACAGCTTTTCTGTCCCCCTGTAACTGTGTCCAGCCCTCTCCTCCTCCACCGGCACCCTGCTCTTGCTGTGGCACTGGACTTTAACATCAGAACCATTAACTTGTCAAGGATACATTTCAGCACTGTCAGCAGTCATGCTGAAAGGCAAAGATGCCACGCAGGTCTCTCGCTGTTGGAATGTTGGCTCTGTAGGACCCATTGTTTTCTCAACCTTGGTGCCAGGGTTTATGGCCCTCCACGCATATGTTAAAGAAGATTTGGGGATAAGCCCTCTTCTAGCTGGCTGAGAGGGTGTGAGTGGCTCCTGTGATCTGTCTGGCTGATAGGAATTCCCTCAGCCTAGCTGAAGGTCCAGCCAGACAGGAAAACATGTGCTGCTGCCAGTATCAACATTTAGGCTGGTCTCTCACAGACAGGCAACTGCAGCCCTGTCTTCCCTCCCCTGAATTAGAATCTTCTTGAGGTGGTAAGGGCTAATAAGTACCATGTAACTAGCTCTACAAGTCAAACTGTTCATTTTTCATGGTTCAACCAGAGAACAGGTGTGTATAATTCATCAAGCCACTGACTAAGAAGGTCAAGGGCTGGGGAGTGCTTGCCTATCAAAAGAATTAGCACATGGTCATCCCAGGGATGATTCCATCAGTGCCAGGCCAGTCTCGAAGGGGCTCTGCAGCTGATTCCTTGTGGGAAGGGCCGGTGTAGAATGAATAGGCCTGGCAATTCTTCAGATGTCCGTGGGGCAGGACAGGCCAAGGGTCCATACTGACCTTGGACTTCCCATGGGAACCACACTGTGCCTCAACTCGAACATTCATTCTAACTACAATGGAGCAAAGAATCTGTCCTATTCTTCAGTTTCTCTAAAAGCTGCCATCTTTCTCCTGTGGAAATCCAGATGTGCTGCTAGCAACCATCACAACTCTGACTTCTTCACTTCCTGGTTTCTAGTGAGGCAACATCTCCATTTTTATTCTCTGTTCCTAAAAGTGGGGAGGAGGGTGTTCTAGATTCCATCTTCATACCCCAATCTTCCAGTAAAATTGGACTTGGGACAGGACTGTCATTGCCTTTGTGGCCTTTTACTAACCCTCTCTCTTGCCACCACAACAGTCAAGCCCCAGCAGAGCTGCCTCTGTCCCTGTCACTCCTGCTAAACCCAGAAGTAGGAATTGGTTTCCAAAGTGACTCAAAAGGGATGTGGCAGTAGAGCTGTGCTTCAAATTGCCTCGTGCAGCAGAAACACCAGGTTCTCTTTTGCCTCTTGTTGCTGCCCAGTCCCAGCCAACTTTGGCATCACTTCATCCTTCAAAGCACATGCTGCTCCTATTGTCACTCAAAAGGGGGCTAAAGATGGCAGAGAAGCCTCAACCAGCCTGTAAGATGCCCCCCAGTTTTCTATTCCTGACAGTGTTAAGGCTTCAGGTTCTCATAGAGCACTTTAAAAAATAAAAAATTAAAAAATTTTTAAAAAGCTCCCAGTTTGTAACCACTAGTTTGCAGTTGATTTTAGTGATCTGGTGACTTGCTACATGAAATGTTTTCCACTCTGGAAATGCATGCAGCTCCAAGCAGATTTTCTTCCCAAGAATTAAGTCTTCCCTTGAAGGCAGGGAAGCAGGGTATGTATACATGCAGACACACACAAAATGTCGGCGTTTAATTGAATAAACCTATACAAGTTTATGTATAGTTGGGGATCCATGTTCAGCATCCCTAGTGGGCAGAAGACGGCCCCTAACTCCCAAGTTTGAGGCTGGCCAGCAGCTGTGTGTGAGATTCCAACCCCGTTAATGTCTTTGGACCTTTGCCCCCAGCAGCCACTCTAAAGCTGATTTTGACCAGCAATGATAGACTATTCTTAACACTTTCAAAAGAGAAGAATTTTTTCAATGGAGCAGAAAGGAGGAAAGAGTTAAAACAAATTTACAAGTTGAGGGTGTAGCTCAGTGGTAGAGTATGCGCTTAGCATGCACAAGGCCCTGGGTTCCATTCCCAGCACTGCCAAGAAAAAAAAAAAAAAAGTTAAAAGGTGGTAATATCTGACCCACAAAGGGAAATGGACTCTTTTATGCGCAATAAAAGTTTTTAAAATAAAGTGTATTTCTTGAGTCATTTTAGTATACTTGGCAATGAGCCAGGATACATTTTCATATCTCTACCTGCCTTTCTAGATAGGTGATATCTGTGTGAATCTTATATCTAGTGTATATATGGGTGTGTATAGTGTTATTTAATGAATACAACTTCTTTAGCCTGGTGCAGTGGCACACAACCTATAATCCTAGCAACTTGGGAGACTGAGGCAGGAGGATCACAAGTTTAAAGCTAGCCACTGCAACTTAGCAAGACTCTAAGCAATTTAGTGAGACCCTGTCTCAAAATAAAAAATAGAGGGGCTGGGATTGTAGCTCAGTGGTAGAGCGTTCGTTTAGCACATGCGAGGCCCTGGGTTCCATCCTCAGCACCACATTAAAAACAAATAAATAAAATAAAGATATTGTGTCTAGTTAAAATAAATAAAGATCAATAAAAAGGGCTGAGGATGTAGCTCAGTTCAATCCCCAGTACCACATACACAAACACACACACACAAAAAAAATGTGTTTGAGTTTGTGCTTTTCTTTGTTCTTCATATTCTGCTTCAGGCTGTCACTTGAGACACTATCTGAGGCAAACACCCACATTAGGTAAAAATCTGCCCTTTATAACTTAGCCTCAGTAGCATCTTGTAGAAAAGCATATTCTTTGAAATAGAGATTCTCAAAGTCTAAGCAATCCTAGGTTCCTGGCAGCCTTTCTTCCAGCTGGCCAGGGAGCCCAGGGGCTTGAGATTTGCAGTCTTCAGGCACAAATCATTCACATGTTTCAATATCCCCAAGTTCATTCAGTGCATAAAGTCCCAGAGGGGGTTGACATCACCTGTTGGCCTGGAATCATCCACAAGAGAACAAAGGAAGAGTGCTGACCAGCTCCAAGGCACCTTTCAGTGCCATTGACCCCATCTGTGGTCTATTGATCTGTCAGTGAAGAGTAGTATCTCTGAGTTCATGATCATGGCTCCTTTCTAAGAAGTAAGGAAGCAGCAGAAAGGGACAGACCAGCAACAGGAACATGAAACTGAATCTTGCAGACCTGGAACCAGTTTGAGTCAGTCACTGCAATGGAAGCTGCAGCCAGAGCATTTCAGCTACTCCAGAAGGAAAAGGGGCCTGGCCAGGACAATGGTGGGCATGGTAGGTAGGAAAGAGTAGGACAAAATATTTTTGTTGTTATTTTCTGGCATTGTTTTTGTTGTCATTTTCAGCATTGGTAATTGAACCCAAGAGCATTATTCCACTAAGCTACATTCCCCAGCTCTATTTTTTTTTTTGGGGGGGGGGTGGGGGTACTAGGAATTGAGCCCAGGGTTGCTTAGCCTAATGAGCCACATTCCCCAGCATCCCCAACCCCGTTTTTTGTTTTGTTTTGTTTTGTTTTGTTTTTTAGTTGTAGATGGTCACAATACCTTTATTTATTATTTGTTTTTATGTGGTGCCCAGGATCAAACCAAGTGCCTTAAGCATACTAGGCAAGCGCTCTACCACTGAGCCAAAACCCCAGCCCCTACCCAGCCTTTTTTAATATTTTTATTTGAAACAGGGTCTCCCTAAGTCCTTAGGGCCTCACCAAGTTGCTGAGGTTGGTCTTAAGTTTGTAATCATCCTGTCTCAGTCTCCAGAGTCACTAGGATTACAATCGTGCTTTGAAATAGTCTCACTCCGTTGCCCAAGCTGGCCTCAAATTTGCAATCATCCTGCCTCAGCCTCCTGGGTAGCTGAGAGTACAGGTGGATACCACTGTGCCCAGTGGATAAAATCTTATAACCGGCTCAAGTGGGAATATATGATGGCCTTCGACTCCTGATAGGAAAGATGATCATGGCCCAAGTAGAGTTGATGGGCACCGGGTCCCTGTCACCTTTTGTTTCCAGAGGGGTTCTCTGGACCACAGCACCCAAAAGCAGGATCTGAGGACAATTGATGGCATCACCTGATGGCAGGAAATAGCGATTCTGTTTAAGGTAGGCCACTGGGGCAACCTCAGAAGTCCCCCCCCCACAAACTGCCAGAGCTGATAGTTCCAAAACCTCTCCTGAACCCCGAATCCTCTCAGAGTCCCATCCTAGGAATCACATTCAAAAGTGGAAAAGAGAGAATGTGCCATCTCATTTCACTTCATAAGCTGGCCAGACTGGCCCTCTTAAGAATATCCTCTTTTGTGTCACCCACTCAGATCATCCTTCCTGGTAATATCAAGTGAAGACTAAGAAACCAACCTCCACGGCCTGCTAAGCCAGGGAGCCAGTTAGACCAGGGCCTAGAGCCACAGAGCTCTTCCGTTAAGGCTCCCAGACAACGTCACACAGCTAAGCTTCACCAGGTAGTGATTTGGGGGCAGCTCCTCCTTTTATTTCCTGCTCTAAGGTCTTTTTACAGTGGGGCTCAAACAGGAATTGGAATTTCAACTATTGTAGGTAAGTTACATGTGCCACTTGCTCTGCCCAACAAGCCACCTGCTACCCAGACCAATGCTAGAAGGAGACTGTCTCCATGATGTGTGTGTGCTTTTCAGGCCCTCATAGGATTTCTGAATCAAAATGGACAGCTGATTCTGAAGTGTAGATTTCAACCTTTGGTTTCATCCAAGGGTGGGCCAGCTACGGAGGTGGCCCAGGCCTCAAAACTAGGCAGTATCTGAATTGAGGATCTCCCTGCAACAATAAATAATGGGCCTGACAAAACTACAGGTTGCTTTGAATGGTCTCCATAGCGGGCAGTTATGGTATACTCCAAACCTAGAGGGAAGGTCCTTTATAAGTGGTGTGGAGCTGCCAAGTTCAGCTGCTGTGAAATGAGAACAAGGTTGTTGGTGTCCTTGCCCAGCCAAGAAAGAGTAGTAGGGAGTGGAGTGTGCATCAGTGAATGCGGGGTTAACATTCATGTGTAACCCTCACCCTGCTGCTTCTCCTGATTTCATCCTTAGGCACATCACTTTAAACTAGTCAATGCCTCACTTTTCTCTCTAAGGTAGGACTGTACCAATCTGCAGGATCCATGGGAGGACAGTAGCTCAAAGGGTTTGAGTCAAGTCTGTATAGATGCACATAGCTCTCTCATACTGGTCACTGGTGTGCATCTTGGAGAAAGGGTCATGAATCTCCAGGTAAACTGAGCGTTGACCAGATAGTCCCAAGGTCATTTCCTAGCTATCTTGTTAGCCAACATAATTATGCACTTATTTTTAATTTTAAGTGTTAGACTAAATCCTCTGGTTGTTCTCACACACTCATCAGGTACAGGTTAATATAAGTAAGCCATATGTATCCAGAACATTTATACTGGCCTCCACCCTCCCTGACCCTGAAGCCAGTTCCATCAGATCTGCTGTCCCAGCAAAACAGCTCCAGAACATGCCATGGGGACGTCCTCCACAAAGCCATTGCCAAGGATAAGAGATTTTCCAGATAAAGGTTAGAGTGTGAGGATGCTGAGCAGGAGCCAAAGGAATGAGGGTCTCGTATACACAGGTGATTGGCCCAGCAGGCAATGAAAGAAGCAGGAGAGAGCCCTTTTAAACACAGAAGGTGTGGCTCCCAGCCTGTCTTCAGGTCTCTCTCCAACAGTCCAGATCTCTCTCTCCTTGGGAAAAAATAAAAAGGATGCAGTAGCCACTGACAACCAATATCTTCCTCCCAGCTGCATTTCTTTTTATTTAACTATTTTTAAAAATGTTTTTGAAAAATAAAATATTTTTTACAAATGTTACTAGGGCCAGATCACTGAATGCCAGCTTTATATTGTGATTGAAAACATTTCTGGCACCAGTAATGAAGGTTTCCAGCTTTCGACAAGTTGTTCTTATCCTGCGATGGGGGTGAAGCTCAGTGGTAGAGCACTTGCCTCGCAGGTGTGAGGCTCTGGGTACCATCCCCAGCATCAGAAGAAAATAAAAGAAATTGTCCTTAACCCAACCCATGAAAATCTGGGGGAAAAGGAAGGTCAGGTCAAGGAGTGTGTGCCTAAGACCCCCACTTCCTGGGCTGACTGCCAACACAATGTTGGACAGTCATGGGCTTGAGCCCTCCATGAGTTACTGGGAACAACCAGCCGACGAGTTGCCCCCATTTCTCCCTCATTTTTGGTCCTGCAGCCCTGTCCTTGGGCTGTGACAGCACTTGGTCATTCAACCACCTCAGCAAGCAGGTAAGAGTCAGCAGAACCTCAGTTCCTGAGTAGTGGCTGCCCCAAGTGTTTCCTCCCAGCTACCCAACAGGGCCTTAGCCTTGTCCCTGGGAGGCAGCCTGGGGCCTTCTAGAATTCTCTTAAAGAAAGATATTGTGCAGAAGCATTGAGAACAGACAAGTTTTCTCAAACACTGTGCCTGAGAAGAATGGGTAAAGGAGAGAATTTCATGTTGCAATAATTTTGCAGTAATTTAAATACAAAATATGTCCCAGCCAGTGTATGTGAAATCATTCCAGAGAAGAGATCCACTCCCCTGGAGCAGGACATCCCCACCAATCCTGCTCATGATCTTTGGAGTTGTTCTGTTGGGAGGAAAGAGGGAAATGTGGTCACTTTTCCTTCGATTTGCATTGACTTGTGTGCATTCTTCATGTGGCCAAACACTGAAATAAAGCTAATCATTATTTTTTCCCTTCTGTATGAAAAAGGATAATTTCTCCCTTTAACAAGCAAAGTTACACCCTTGGGGAGCTGGGATGTGCTCATAAAACTGGAGCTCCAGGGATGGCTTCCCAACTTGAGGCCCCAACATGGCAACCACCTATCTACTAGGCGAGGGGCTGGTTCCCATGAAGTAAGGAGAGCTATCCCCTCTGCCCCCCACAAGTTCCTGTGATGTCTTCCCCTCCCACAGACCTCCAGGGGTTTATTTGTTTGTTTATTGTGATGGCAAGAATGTCATTGCCAACTAGTAAGACTTTTCCTTCCTGTCCTTCCCTTGGCATTTGTTTATCTTTTTTAAAAATTTTTTAAATTTTTTTTTAATTTTTAGTTGTAGATGGACACAATGCCTTTATTTATTTATTTTTAT